AAAAATACAACAAATTAGCTGGGCATGGTGGCGCGTGCCTGTAATCCCAGCTACTCAGGAGGCTGAGGCAGGAGAATTGCCTGAACCCAGGAGGCGGAGGTTGCGGTGAGCCGAGATCGCGCCATTGCACTCCAGCCTGGGTAACAAGAGCGAAACTCTGTCTCCAAAAAAAAAAAATTAAAAAAATAAAATAAAAAAAAATAAAAGACATAAGAACAGAGGGCCATCCATTGACCCTCAGTCAACATGAGTGGATCAGAAAAGAAAAAGAAGGCAGACAAGGGGAAACAGGAAAAGAACCAAGTAAAATAATGTCATGAGAATTTAAGAAAAGAGTTTCAAGGCAGACTGGGTAGTTAACAATACAAAACAGCAGAGGATAATACAAACTAACAGCTGCTGAACTTTAAAGAAAGAGAAAAAACGCTTATTTTTCAGTCTTTTGAGTTATATTTGCTACCTCTCTATAGTCTTTCCAATGCATAAGCTTTTTTTTTTTTAAACAGGGTGCAAGACCATAACTTTTTAGTAATATACTTAATCCATTCTTACTTTCCAGGCTATTTACTTTTTGATCTCCTGCAATTATCTCTGTGCTCTAACCAAGGCTGCAGACATGTGCATATTCCATATTCTTTTGAGATGTCAATGTACTAGCCACTCTATATTGTTTTTCTGCTTATTCTCTTCTGCCCCCCTTTGGCTCCACAACCCACCTGCTCAGCTAATTTTCATTTGAGTTGTGATGGCAGCGGCACTTCCTCTTGGGCAGAAAAGTGAAAGTACTGTCAAGTTAGCATTGGATAAACTAAAGCAACGTTTTTTCTCTCACTTCTAACTTCAATTATGCCTTAGGTGATTCTTGAGAAGTACATGCTTTTGTTGTTATAGATATATTTTGAAAACCCACTATTTTATTCTAGACAGAAAATCCAAGAATGGAGAGACCATATACATTTAAGGATTTTGTTCTTCACCCAAGAAGGTCAGTAAATATAAAATAATAGCATACTAAGTTTTTTGTCTCTTCATTACACCTTCCAGTAGCCTCATTAGAAATTCAGGGTTTAAACTTCTATAAATAAGCTACTTCTAAATATTATTATTTTTTAAAAGCTTCATTGCTGTTTCTGATTAAGAAGTACTATGTGCACATTGCAAAACATTCTGAAAATACAGAAAGTGATCACACTTCTTTGGGAAAGATTTGTCCTCTTAATACTTATCAGACTAGAAGGGTAGAATGTGTCATTATTTTATATTTATTTTATATCCTAAAATTTATGTCATATTGTCATAATACTATGCTTTTAAAAATCACAAACGTGAATTCATCTAAAACCATTATCCAACTCGACATGTACAAAGCCAATTTCGGAAAAACCTAACTATATTTTGCCTACTTTAAAAAGTATTTCAGAAGACTCAAATATTTAGAGAAAATAACATAAGACTGGAATTTAAAACCCAAATAGCATGCTTATAATTCCATTCTCCTAAATGAAATTACTTGATGTTTATCAAAAAAAATTTAAACTTAAGCTGTAACTAAAACTCCTTTTGATCTTCTATACCACATTGTGAAGTAAAACCTAGTCAAAATATGTGTGTGGATTTACTGTCTAAAAGGTCAAACTAAAGCAGAGAAAGGACATCTGTGAAAGCGACAGTATTTGTCTTGTTTCTTAAACTATAAAATGCATTTGAAAATGTACTATTGAAACTTAGTAAAAATTTTCACTTAAAAATGTTTTTTGAAAATTACTGTTTGTAATATAAATATTAAAACAAAATTACTTTCTATAAAGGAAGTCACATTTAATTTTTGTAGATATCTGGAATGTCAGTCTCTTTGCATCCTTTAATTTTAGACTGATTGTGACATCTGTATACCGAGAAAAACTAAGTTGTTTTTTCTTATTTGATTGTCCTAGTAGCCTGCTTTTCAGTTTGTCAGATGCTTTCTGGTGTCTTTGTCTTTAAAAAATACAATTTGCTGCTTCTGTCTGCACCGAATATTACTGCAAGTGCAGAAAGAACTTTATTCAGATAGAAAATGTACTACATGCCTAAATTTGTTTGAGCTTCATTAAATCAAAACCTTGAGGCTTATTTTCTAATTGAGAAGACATGAAACATATAATTGTAGAGAATCTTTTCAAAACAACAAATTCTGAGCACATTCTCTGTATCCATCTTTCATAGCAACAAGTCAGAATGTTCACGTCTCCTTCAATATGGAGACACAAGCCACATTAGTGGCCTTGGAAGTAAGCATCGGGGATTTCACTGACTACTCAGGAAAGGATACACTAAATTTGCCAAATTCATGAGAACTATACAGAGAAGAGCTAAAAGGATTAGGGGAGGCTTTGGAGTAGGGATAGGTAATCTCTTGAAGACAGAATAAAAGGATTAGGACTCTTGTCTAGAAAGACATAGGGTAATTGCTACATATTTGATAACTGTAAAAATCATCCCCCAAAAATCTATATAGAAAGCTGAGACAAGCAAGGATTTCTTAAGTAAATCATCGGATGTTAGAATTGGTGAGGGCAATAGATAGGATTAAGCCTTAAATTAAAAGCTTATGAAAACACTGTAATGGTTGCACTTTGGGAGGCTGAAGTGGGTGGATTGCTTGAGCCCAGGAATTCCTGACGAGACTGAGAAACAAGATAAAACCTCGTCTCTATAAAAAAATACAAAAATTAGCTGGGCGTGGTGGTGCATGCCTGTAGTCTCAGTTATTTGGGAGGCTGAGGTGGGCAGATCACCTGAGATTGGAAGGTCAAGGCTGCAGTGAACCATGATTGAGCCACTGCACTCCAGCCTGGGCAACAGAGGGAGATGCTACCTCAAAAAAAAAAGAAGGAGCAGCAGCTTGTGAAAGGCAGGTTTTCAAAAGATTTAAAGTATTACTACAGCAGGCAGCAGCCTTTAGCTTAGACAAGTAATTATTCAAAGAGGTGATACGATATAAAAATAGATTAGGTAAATTGATGTGTGGCAGATTCAAACAGCTGCCAAAGAGATGTAGCAGGTTTCAGACAATTATCAGGCCTTACCTTCTACTCTTCTGTCATCCAATACAGTATGGCCAAATTAATAACCCTAAAGCACATCTCAAAATGCTCAGTGGTTTGCCAAAATATGCAAAATAAAGTCTGAAGTTCTCTGATTTTGCATGACCTCTGGACCATCCCTACCTCCTTTAGTCTCCTTTATAAATCCTTTAATCCAGCCAAACTCAACTACTGTCATTTCCTTAATTGCATGCCAAATTTCCTATCTGTTTCCTGGATCTTGCCCTCTTCCCACTCATATGCCTTTTCCTCTGCTGTCACAGGTAAGAATCCTCCCCAATCTTCTAATCCCAACTCAAGGCCAGCTTCTCTTTGACATTGTCTCTGTTCATTTACTTAAACTTCCTTACCATCTTCTTTGTAGCCAACAACTATTTATTTATATATGTTTTCCTTTTCTCCACCTTCTGTTCCTTTCCCTGGATATCTTCTGCCCTGGAACTTGTCTTTGAGCCTCCCCTTGTAGACACCCTGCTAGCTACTGGGGGTTCATTAAGCTCTTATTAATTGAAGACTTTTCTCCCTGGTGTTAAATTTTTATGAATATGTTTTTCCTTTTCTACAGTCACAAATCAAGAGTTAAAGGTTATCTGAGACTAAAAATGACTTATTTACCTAAAACCAATGGCTCAGAAGACGATAATGCAGAACAGGCTGAGGAATTAGAGGTGAGATTTTATAAATATTTGGTTAAACTAAAAAAAATCAGTTTCTTATTTTACTGTACTCTAAAGAACAATAACTTTATTGAATGAAGTTATGTGTGCAATAAAAATTATTTACTTGGACATTTATTTCACATAAGCATTCATTAATAGTTTCTTTCCTCTAAGAATATTTCTGTAGAATAAGTGGCCCCAATTTTTGATGGCCTTCTTAAAGGTTAAGAAATAGGGAACAGAATATAAATCTAGTTTTTCAAAGTTTTCTAAAACTTCATGTTTTCCATTAAAGAAATAATACAATTTACTATTTTGAAGTTAAATATATGGACATTTTGAGGAGACTCCACTAATTAGGAACTGTTTTATGAAATTTAAGTTCCATTGATAATCTTATTATGGTGGGAGGGCTAATAGGAAAGGAAGGGAATTAGGGGGCAAGGAGAATTTAAGTGATCTAATAAAGAGCTTTATGTATGTGGGGCAAGTAGTATTTAAAAATTGTCATGGATGACAGAAGGAGAGGAAAGTTCAAGTCAAGATTTGTGTAGAGCTACATCCATCTGGGATAATCAAATAGGAGGCGGAAAGTATGTATTTCAAATAGAATTGAATAGGGTTTGGAGACTGGAATTCTAGTTGCACATTCTATCCAACCAGGCCTGTGTGAGTCATTGAACTTTTCTGAACCTCATGATCTTGTTTGCAGAGTGACAGGACGGCACCAGATGACCTTGAGGGTTTCTTCCTGCTGAAAAATTTATGATTTGAAAAGGGGGCAAAAAAATACCTGCTCTTTGAGGTTCCCTTTAAAAGCACATTATCATCAAAAAGAAGTATCATTTATTCAATAGCTGTATTAGTCCATTTTCATACTGCTATGAAGAAATACCTGAGACTGGGTAATTTATAAGGAAAAAGAGGTTTAATGGACTCCTAGTTGTACATGGCTGGGAGGCCTCACAATCATGGTGGAAGGTGAAAGAGGAGCAAAGGCACAGCATACATGGTGGCAGGCAAGAAAGTATATAGCAGGGAACTGCTATATAAAACTATCAGATCTCGTGAGACTTATTCAGTGTCATGAGAACAGCATGGGAAAAACTTGTCCCCATGATTCAGTTACCTCCTATCCACTGAGTCCCCCCCCACAGCATGAGGCGATTATAGGAGCTACAATTCAAGATGAGATTTGAGTGGGAACACAGCCAAACCCTATCAACAGTAGTCACTGAACATACACAGCATATGGCACCAAATTACTCTGGAGGGTTCTTTTTTGGTGCCTTGCTTTAACACTTTTGCCTCTTTGACTGAGGGCCTGCTTAGGTCTCCATAAGAAAAGCTGACGGCCTTCCCCAGGGGCTAGGCTCTACCTTACATGCATATGTACCTTGAGAGAGAAAGCTCTAGAACAGGTAGTGAATTTGCAACAAAGCTTTCTGGGAAATTTGTAAATGCACTAGTAAGATTTTGCTTTGCGGGAAAATCTTTAACAGAAGGAAAGCCTTTTTTTTTTTTTTTTCCCCAAAGGAAGCCAGTCTTCCTCTATGGCCCATGCTGGAATGCCGTGGTGCAATCTCAGCTTACTGCAACCTCCGCATCCTGGGTTCAAGCAATTATTGTGCCTCAGCCTCCCAAGTAGCTGGGACTGTAGGCATGTGCCACCATGCCTGGCTAATTTTTATAGTTTTAGTAGAGACGGGGTTTCACTACGTTGGCCAGGCTGATCTTGAACTCCTGAGCTCCTGGCCTCAAGCTGTCCACCCACCTTTGCTTCCCAAAGTGCTGGGATCACAGGCATGAGCCAGGAAAGAACTTTTTTCTTCAAATCAGAGAGTATAGATAGCCCTTAGTTTGGTGATCAAAGAACTTGTTTTCCTCTCAGTTGTATCTTCACTTACTTGATTAACTTTTTCTTATTTATTTTTTCTCCGATTTTCATGTAATAATCCTCTTTAAAGTTTTCAAGTATTTATTCAATAGAAGTTTCTCTACCTGGCTTTTTGGTGTACCAGAGTATCTTGCATAATGGAATTCTGTTTGAAATGAAGGATATCTGCTGTAAAGAAAAAAAATTTATTTGCTTAGTAACTTAAAAAATTTTAACAGCATTTCGTTATTTAGTAACCTGCTCCAAGTTTTGCCCACATGCACACATCATAGGACCTTATTCACAGTTCAGTTTCTGTGGCAAGAACTGCTTCGCTTCATTTTGCAGTCACATGTCTCAATGTTTGAATTCTCTCAGAGTGCACCTTATAATTTCAGGAGAGGTAAGCGTGTAGGAGTTTATTTTTGAAAGGGTCTAGGAATTCAAACACATGACTCTGTGCTTATTTACACATGAATCTGTGTAGCTAATGACTAGAGGAGTCTTGCCTAGTCATTTGACAGCTAGTTTGTGACTGTATATATAAAATTCTACTATTTAAGGAAAACAATTTTAATTTTGAAATGAAGGTGACTCTTAGATAGTCTCTATTCTGTAGTAAAGTATGGCTATAGTAGATAATTATGTAATCTTTGATTTTTATACCCCTTACAACTTTAGGGTTAGTTGTATGTGTTTTACAAAATTAACATGTAAACTCTTGGTTATACCTCTGAATGCTTTCTTTGTGACCCTCTTTGACTTGATTAAATTGTGGGCAATTACATATTGGCTCTGAGGTTAGAAATTAAATAAGATTCATTAATACTTAGAAAGTTATTTTATAGAGAATAGCAGCTGATACACATTTAATAGGAAGGCATCCTATCCAAAAAAGTGACTGTGTAGAGGCATTCTATCCAGTCTTTCTAAACAGTATTTGATTGCACAACTGTACTTCCACAAACTTGAGACCATTTTTTAAAAGCCCTTAATAAATTAATTTTTGTTCTTTCTCTTCTTGAATTTACTCAGATAATATAAATACAATAAGCAGACATTTAAGAGAGAAATCTCTAAGAAGCTTTAAAAGAAATATTCTTTTGGTACCATTTTTCTAGCACTATTTTTATAATCCTTTACAGCAGTAGTGAGAACTCTTTTATTAATAAATTATATTAATCTTAAAGGAAAGTAATCATTGATTATATTCACCAAAAAATGTTAAGCTTATGTTTTCTCAAAAGAGTAAAATATAAAAATTTAACTTACATGTTTTTGGGATTGAAACCAGAAAAATACAATCTGATTCAATCTATGTAAGACTAATTTTTAGGCATGATAGATGTTATATTATAATAATTTAAGGTAAGGGAAAAGTAAGAAAGAAGGAAGATAAACATGGATAGGCAGACAAAGTAAGAGGATATAGGGAAAGAAGAGAATGGAATTTGGGCCATAAAAAGAAAAAAAACAGAGATTCCAATTCTTACAAAAGAGGTAAAAAGAAAAAAAGCAAGGTTGGACACAGTGGCCCATGCTGGTAATCCCAGCACTTTGGGAGACCAAGGCAGGAGGATTGCTTGAGCCCAGGAGTTTGAGACCAACTTGGGCAACATAGCGAGACCCCATCTCTACAAAAAATAAAAAATTAGGTTGGCATGGTAGTACGCACCTATAGCTATAGCTACTCAGGAAGCTAAGGTGGGAGGATTGTTTGAGCTCAGGAGGTCAAGGCTGCAGTGACCCGTGATGGCACCACTGCACTCCAACCTGGGTGACAGAATGAGACCCTGTGAGGAGAGAGAAGAAAGAATGAAAAATTTCCGTCCAGACCTTTTTCCCCAAAATAATTTATTCTGTCATCTTCCCCTGCCAACACCCCTCACCTTCTATACAGAACTAGCCAAAATAAATCAGCCTTGCTGCAGAAACCCCTAATCATTTCTCCCTGCTACCAAAAAACATTCCTTTCCTTCCCAACTCTTTTCCCTGAGCCCTAATTTTCAAGTCTAGCCTTCCAACACAGAAGAATTATCTTCCATCTTCTAAGCAATCCATTGCCTGTCACACCGCAGTCATGTATTGCTGTTCTCCAGGCCTAGAACAGAAACTCTGCATATAAGGAAATTATTCTGTGTCTATTATCAAAGTACCATAATGTTTGCCACTTTGTGATGTACTTATGTTATATGTTATTTGTGGGTTTTTGTTTTGTTTTTTGTTGTTATTTAGTAGTTTGGGCCATATACAAATTTGGGTGTTTTGTTGTCAAGTTTATGGATCTTCTCTTTCATGCCTTGAGGGTTTGGTGTCATACTCAACAGTGTCCCACTCTTAAAATATATTTCTAAAATTTCCAAAAATTTGTTACTAATACTTTTTAGTTTTACTTTTAAACATTTAAATATTATTCAGTCTGTAACTTATCCTGATATAAGGCATGAGGTAGGGATTCAAGTGAAGTTTTTTCCCAAATGGGTACCCATTTTGTAAGTAATATGCCTATTTTGCCATAGATTTGAAATGTCTTTATCTTATTCTTAATTCCTATAAATGTTGTTTGTTGTTGTTGTTTTTGAGAGAGAGTACTGCTGTGTCACCCAGGATAAGTGCAGTGGTGCGATCTCTGCTCACTGCAACCTCCACCTCCTGGGCTCAATCAATTCTCCTGCCTCAGCCTCCCAAATAGCTGGGATTACAGGCACCTGCCACCATACCCAGCATATTTTTGTATTTTTGGTAGAAATGGGGTTTCATCATGTTGGCCAGGTTGGTCTGGAACTTCTGACCTCAAGTGACTCACCTGCCTTGGTCTCCCAAAGTGCTGGGATTTCAGGTGTGAGCCACTGTGCCCGGTTGAAATTCCTATTAAGTTGAATTTCTTTCTGGGCAAATCTATTGAGCTGCCTGTTGTTGCATGCAGTACCACACAGCTTTAATTGTTGTTGTTTATAATATGCTTTATCTGGTAGGGTTGATCTTCACTTCTTGCCCTTCGTTTTTAGAATTGTGCTGCTTATTGCTGCTTGTTTATATTTCTATTTGAACTTGAGAATTGCCTTGTATTTTTGGGGGGAGTGAGGGGGACAGAGTTTCACTCTTGTTGCCCAGGCTGGAGTGCAATGGTACAATCTTGGCTCACCGCAACCTCCGCCTCCCAGGTTCAAGCAATTCTCTTGCCTCAGTCTCCTGAATAGCTGAGATTATAGGCATGCACCACCATGCCAGGCTAATTTTGTATTTTTAGGAGAGATGGGGTTTCCCCATGTTGGCCAGGCTGGTCTCGAACTCCTGACCTCAGGTCATCCACCTACCTCGGCCTCCCAAAGTGCTGGGATTACAGGTGTGAGCCACTGTGCCTGGCCTATTTTTTTTTAAATCCTAATGTAGTTGTGTTGGAATTTTGGCAAATGTATAGATTACCTTAGGAAGAATTGACACCTTTGTGAGACTGAATCTTCCCAGCCAAGATCAGACCATGCCTTTCCATTATTAAGGTCTTCTTTTGTGTCCCTTTGGGAGCATTTTAAAAGTTTTCTTCACCAGTTTATTTCAGTTTCGAATGTTGTCCTAACCAGTCAGTATTTAATAAAATCTTTTACCTACTGCCTTTTCTTTTATGAGGTTTCCCATATAAAAGCATTAATTCTTGCTACTCTTTTCTATCAGTTCCTTACTTTAGGCTTAACTAAGGCTTTGTCTTAATTTTGCCTCTTGTTAGTCTCTGAGAAACCAAACTTCCAGTGCATTTTTAAAAAAATCTTTATTTGGCTGTTTTATGGCTTTACTAAAATGGCTTGCCTCGGTCCAGAGGAGAAAGAGAGAAAATCAGACAAGGGAATCACAATGACTTTTCCATCACTAGAGAGTTCACTGTAACAATTATTTCAAAATCATTTGCCCTTCCCTATCTTGCCCGTCTATGTATTTGACCTTTAATCATTTTTCCATGTCTCAGATAGTTATTGATTTCTACCATAAGCAAGGTGCTTTCTCTTCAGGAAAGACAATGACCAATAACACATAATCCTTGCCCGTCATTCAGCTTATAATTTAGAGAATAGCCTGAGATTGCACCAGTAACTTAAACTATGCTTCTCAATTTCTCAGTGCTTTTTTTTTTCCAACTTTCCACTGTTGTTTATTTAAAAGATTTTTTGTCCTTTATTTTATTAGATTTTTTGTCCTTTATTAGATTTTTTAATTTTCATTTTTGTTTGACAAACAGTAATTGTATATATTTATAGAGGACAGTGTGATATTTTGATGTGTGTTTACAATGCATAATGATTAAATCAGGCAAATTAAATCTGTCACCTCACTTTTATTTTTTGTTAGGAAAATTGTAAATAGATTTGTTTTAAAGTTTTGGTTGTTGTTCTACCTTGAGACAGGGTCTGGTTCTGTCACCCAGGCAGAACCCGGTAGAAACTTTATAGGCGTTTGCCTTTAAAGGTTGTTTTGGAAAAATTTTTGGATAATTTCAAACAAAAATTAAATGGTTATCATTTTTGCAAAAAAAGTCTTCATTATCATAAAGTATTTATATTATGGTCTTAAAAGTTGAGGATTGTTAATTCTGTCTATGCATAATTTCTAGAACTTTATATAAAAAATCTCTTTTTAAATTTCCTTTAGCATATAATTTATAAGGTTAAAAAAATCAAGCATAAACTTAATGGCTACCATCCTGTTTTCAGCCTGGCTGGGTTGTTTTGGACCAACCAGATGCTGCTTGCCATTTGCAGCAACAACGAGAACCTTCTCCTCTACCTCCAGGGTGGGAAGAGAGGCAGGATATCCTTGGAAGGACCTACTATGTAAACCATGAATCTAGAAGAACGCAGTGGAAAAGACCAACCCCTCAGTATGTGCTGATGGTTTTTACAATTTTAATCTTGAAATACTTTAACTACTAATTCTCACTTTGAAGTCATGTCTCAGATGGATTCGTAACAGTATAGTGATGCATAAACTATAATAATACTAGGATTTTTATGGCCTAGGACTTAAAAAGTCCTAACTCTGCTGTTTCTTTTTTTTTTAATGACTTAATAATACTTGATTCATAGATACTACCCTTTTAATTGCCTCTTAATTTTAAGTTTTTTAATTGTTATGTAGCCACAAATGGTACATTTGCCTTTTTAGGCTGAATTAGAAGTCTTGAAGAATTTTTGTAGTTTGTTATTAAAGTATAATAAAATGTTAATTTCTACAGTACTCTATTTTTAAAATATAAATTATTTATAAAATATAAAGGACTCAATAATAAGGATCTTTTATTAAATGCCTATTTGACAGTCTGCTCAATGTCCACATAACTTCCAGCATGCACAGATCACATATTCTAATTTATGTCTCCTCAGTGATATTTTTCTTTTATTATCATAAAACTGTATATACACTTATAAAATCTCCCATTTTTCATATTTATTCTCAAATCCACTTCCATTTCTTCTTCCATAGAGTCTTATGAAGTCTTCCTTTAGTCTTATGTTTGAAACATACTTGTAATTTTTTAATGTGTTCATTAGTCTCCTAATTTTTGGCTTTGATATTTTGCATCTGATATATGCCAAGCACTTTCATAGACATTTTCTGTTCTCAAATCCTTTTAAAACAAATCAGCGGTTCAAGTACTTAATGGCACAGAAGGATCAATCTTCACAGAGTGACATACAGACTACAAAGCTGAAGACACTATGAAATTCTGCAGAGTTGCCCTGTTGCATACCTCAGCATTATAGCAAACCTTACTTGAGCAGAATCACATTTCTTTCACCGTGGCTAATGTCATTTTCAGGTAGCCAAAATCAAATATTTAGGGGCAAAAAAACCGACGCATTCCATTAGAACCATGTAATAACTGGTCTTCTGACTAGCGTGGGCTCATGTGGCATTAAATAAATTAACAATAATTTTATTATTAAATATTTGAACAAAATTCTTGATCTTATAGTCTGGTTATAGTAAATGCAAATAACTAGAATAATATAAATTATTCTATTTATATTCAAGGGTGTTCAATCTGATTTTTTAATTTAGTTTTTGTGGGTCCTTAGTAGGTATATATATTTGTACCTTAGTAGGTATATATATATATATTTATGGGGTACCTGAGATGTTTTGATACAGGCATGCAAGGCATAACAATCACATCATGTAAAATGGGGTATCCATCCCCTCAAGCATTTATCCTTTTTCCTACAAACAATCAAATTATAGTCTTCTGGTTGTTTTTAAATGTAAAATTAAATTATTATTGACTGTAGTCACCTGTTACGCTATCAAATGCTAGGTCTTATTCATTGTTTCTATTTTTGTAATCCTTATTAACCATCCAATCTGATTTACTGTACCTCTCCTAAGCTAGACAAATCTTTACTGTTAACTTTTTAGGCTTGTGATTGTATATTACCAAAAAAACAGATACCATTCCTAATAGATAGATGATTCATAAATCATTAAGCTTTTAATTATAAAGTCCTTACACCTTCTTTCATTCTGCCCATCACATTGGTGCATGGAGTACTCTACTCCTGGCTTAAGACCACTTCTAGAAAAGGTGCTATCTGATTCACAAAATGTGTAACTTTATTACTCTTGTAATAACATGGCAAAATAACATAACGAAATAATCTGTGAAGCTCTCTCATTTTGGCCTTTGGTCAAAAACAATAAATTTTTTTATTGATATCATGTAGATTTTTTTTCAGTGATCACAGAATCTTTGACAATCATTTTAACTACTTAAGACATAGATGATGGCTTTTTATACTTCCAATATAGGGACAACCTAACAGATGCTGAGAATGGCAACATTCAACTGCAAGCACAGCGTGCATTTACCACCAGGCGGCAAATATCCGAGGAAACAGAAAGTGTTGACAACCGAGAGTCTTCCGAGGTATAAGTGGTTTCCTAGTTCTCCTTGATAGACACATGCTATAGCAATAGATTAAAGTATGTGTGGCTCAACCTTATTCTGTTCATTTTAGAACTGGGAAATTATAAGAGAAGATGAAGCCACCATGTATAGCAGCCAGGCCTTCCCATCACCTCCACCATCAAGTAACTTGGATGTTCCTGCTCACCTTGCAGAAGAATTAAATGCCAGACTCACCATCTTTGGAAATTCAGCCACAAGCCAGCCAGTATCCAGCTCAGTAAGATGCTCTTAGATTTGTTTATGATTTCAGTATTTTATATTATACATATTATACCATTCAACAACTAACTTTTATGTAAAATTTTGTCTTAAATGCAATAATATGTCAGGGACCTTAGGACTTTACAGCATGGTCATTTTTCAAATATCCCCATTAATATTATGGACCAGAGTCATGGCATCCAAATTTCCATTATGTCAGTGCCCTCCAGTCAGAAATCACTAGGGACACATTCGTCATTGAACAAGTTGGGTTTATTATTCATTTTAGCAAGGGAGAACGCGCACCATTGGTATTTTGATAACAGAATATTAGAAAAAACTTAAAAGATTTGGGCTGATGTTAGGTGATTTTGAAGAGGGTTTTAAGAAGCAGGACTTTGCTCTACATGAGATGCTATCAGGAAGCAAGGATAATTCTGTGATTTTGTATCTCAAATCTTCCCTGTAGTGAGGCTAAAGCTGTGATTAGCAAAATAGAACAGTCACTCACGTTTGCCAGGATAGGGAAATGTTTGGTATTTGGTGGCTTGGACAATGTTCATGTTTTGTCTATATTCAGCCATGATTACAGAGTGGTCTTGGTTTTGTCTTGATCTTACCTGTGAGTGCCAGACCAGCTCCTGGATGTTAGGGACTGCTTTTCTCTCTCTCCGTTATGCTGAAGTTGGTTTTTCTTTCTTTCTTTTTTTTTTTTTTTTGAGACATCTCACTCTGTCACCCAGATGGTAATGCAGTTGTGCTATCTCAGCTCACTGCAAACTCCACCTCCTGGGTTCAAGCAATTCTCGTGCCTCAACCTCCTGAATAGCTGGGATTACAGATACACACCACCACACCCGGTTAATTTTTATGTTTTTAGTAGAGATGGAGCTTCACCAGGTTGGCCAGGCTGGTCTTGAACTCCTGGCCTCAAGTGATCCACCTGCCTCAGACTCTCGAAATGCTCGGATTACAGGCATGAGCCACTGCATTTGGCCGGAAGTTTTAACATTTTATCGCAGATGTCACCAACAGGTATATATGAATAAGAACTTATGTATTTTGACTAAACAAAGAGATAGATGACATTTTCACTTCAGCCACCACTGTAAAAACTGCTTTCCATAGGGTTCAGAATAAAGTATTCCAGCATATGCTTCCATGGTGAGAACTTCATGGCTAGCTGTACCGTCTGTATCATCAAGGGAGATTGAGTAGAAGACAAAAATTATTCCCTGAGGATGCTATTTGTCATTTCCAGTTGAGGTTACCCTGCCTTTCATTCAGTCAGGATTTATTGAGAGCTGATCACATATATGCAAGGTACTATATGCTAGTTACTGAGGATATATCAGTAAGTAAAATTAACAGTATCTCCTGCCTTCATGTGACTTATATTCTAGTGCAGAGGCAAGCAAACTACAACCAGTGGGCCAAATTAGCAGCTGCCTGTTATGAATAATATACTGTTGGAATATAGGTACATCATTTGTTTAGGTATTACCCATCTCTGCTTTCACACTACATCATCTGAATTGAGTAGTTACGGCAGCAACCATATGGCCCAAAGCAAGTATTTACTGTCTAGACCTTAACAGGAAATGTTTGCTAGCTTCTGCTCTAGCATCTTCTTCAAGAAGCTTCACTGTAGATAGTTGTAAGGGAATATGAATATCTGCAAGTACATCTGCCTGCCTACCTCCTGCCCTTCCTTTCTTCCATTTGTTTGTCCTGTCTTCGATTCATTTCATTTTTTCATGGGGGTGTGATTCTGGTCAGTCAGAGACCTAAAGGATAAACTATATTAGGCCAGGCACAGTGGCTCATGCCTGTAATCCCAGCACTTTGGGAGGCCAAGGTGGGCAGATGGCTTGAGGTCAGGAGTTCAAGACCAGCCTGGGCAACATGGCAAAACCTTATCACTACTATAAATGCAAAAATTAGCTGGGTGTGGTGGTGCATGCCTGTAATCCCAGCTGCTCGGGAGACTGAGCTGGAAGAATTGTTCGAACCCAGGAGGCAGAGGTTGCAGTGAGCTGGGATCACGCCATTGCACTCCAGCTTGGGCGACAGAGAAACTCTGTCTCAAGAGAAAAAAAAAAGAATAAACTGTATTGATTTGCTGGTAATAAATCACATGCGATCCCATTCCCTTTCCTCCTGGTATTTTTTTTTTTTACTTATCGTCATACATGGCACCCATACAGTGTAATACTATGTAGCCACTGAAAAGAGCAAGGTGGGCTTGACTGTATATGTCTGATGGAACAATCCCTAAGAGATTCTGGTAAATGAAAAACAGCAAGGTACAGAACAATGTGTTTGGTATGCTAGGAATGTATGATATTACTCAAGGACTAAACAGGAAGCTAGTAATGCTGCTTGCCTGTGAAGAGAGGCAGAGAATGAGCAGGATATGTATTGCTTGTACCTTTTGTGTTTTCGATATAGGGTCTCACTCTGTCGCCCAGGCTGGAAGGCAGGAGCATGATCATAGCTCACTGCAACCTCAAACTTCTGGTTACAAGGGATTCTCCCATCTCAGCCTCTGGAGTAGCTGGCACTACAGGCACACGCCGCTGTACCCCCAGTAATTAAAAAAATAATAATTTGTAGAGACCGGCTATAGTATTGTTGCCCAGGTTCCTTTTGAATTTTATAACATGTATGAGTGTTAACTATTTTAAGAAATATTTTTAAAGCACTGTATGGTTATGGTTACAAATTGAAACTGTATTTAGGTGTATAAAATAAAACTTAAGACTAGGCATTATGGCTCACGCCTATAATCCCAGCACTTTGTAAGGCCAAGGCAAGCAGATCACTTGAGGTCAGGAGTTCGACCACCCTGGCCAACATGGCAGAACCTCGTCTGTACTAAAATACAAAAATTAGCTGAGTGTGGTGGCATGTGCCTGTAATCTCAGCTACTCGGGAGGCTGAGGCAGGAGAATTGCTTGAACCCGGGAGGTGGAGGTTACACTGAGCCAGGATTGTGCCACTGCACTCCAGCCCGGGCAACAGAGTAAGACCCTGTCTCAAAAAAATTAAATGAATAAATAAATAAAATTAAATCTTCCATATTACCCTAATGTATTCTCCCTCAGTCACTATTAGTGGTCAAATACCTAAAGAATAAATGATTATTGATTTGCTGGTGATAAATAACTTGGATACCTATATAGACACTGTTTCTGTATAGTCATAAACATGCATACATACACACATGTTTGTAGGTGATTTTTGAACCTAAGATCATCTTAAATATACTTTTTGGTAACTTGCTTTTTTCACTTGCTGTCTCTTAGACATTGAACCATTTCAGTATATATAGATGTACTCCTTTAAAAGCCAATTAAAATGATCATTAAACTCTAGCATATTCCATCGTACAAGTAATTCTTATTTCACCAGTCTCCTATTCAAAAACTTTAGATTGTTTACAGTACTATTATAAACAGAACTACAGTAGATCTTCTGATTTAATTTCTATGTGCATTGTAAATTTTGATGTCATTAAATAACAAAACTAAGTTATTTCAGATAGTGATAATAACATGTATATACAAACATAAGGAAAAAAAGAACATGAGATTTCCAGAAAACAAGTAGTCCAGAATGTCCAACGGATAGATTGCGAAGTGGGAAGTAGCTGAAGAAGTCAGGAAGAGGCAGGTCGTGATGCTCAGGAAACATTGTTTTCTGTGCCATCATGGGGTTCAGCTCCAGGACAGGACTGGCTGTGCAGTGCAGGATGCTCTGAACCTGCAGCATGCAGCATGGAGAGTGGACTTAAGGAAGTAAGACTTGCAACAGGGAAACCTCTTAGGATATTGCTGTCATTGTAATGAAAGTGACAAAAGGTGAAAACTTGAAGTTAAAACTATAAAACTAGAACTACGAGCCAAACGCAGTGGCTCACGCCTGTAATCCCAGCACTTTGGAAGGCTGAGGTGGGTGGATCACAAGGTCATGAGTTCGAGACCAACCTGGTCAATATGCTGAAACCCCATCTCCACTAAAAATCCAAAAATTAGCCAGGCGTGGTAGCATGCACCTGTAGTCCCAGCTACTCAGGAGGCTGAGGCAGAAGAATTGCTTGAACCCAGAAGTGGAAGTTGCAGCGAGCCAAGATCACACCACTGCACTTCAGGCTGGGCAACAGAGCGAGACTCCATCTCAAAACAAAAAACAAAAAACTAGAACTAAAGTGTAGAGGGAGTGTATTTGAGAATGATTTCTGTTAAGACATTCAAGAGAAGGTGTCCAGGAGGCAGTCCAGCACCGAGGGCGTGGTAGCTGGATGTGTGAAGGTGTCCACCTAGGGGGCTGAGAGCGACCAGGTGCCTCAGCCTGCAGTCTCTACAGTTGCGTCTTAGCCAGCCTTCTCTCTTCTGCCCTGTCATGCTTACCCTCACCACCTTAGCTGACACTCAAAGGCAAATCACAAATCTCAAGGTATTCTTATTCTGTTGTCTTGTTTTTTACAAGAATCATTCCAGCAGAAGAGGCAGCTTACAAGCCTATACTTTTGAGGAACAACCTACACTTCCTATGGTGAGTTTTACCCTCTTCCATCAATTAATAAAAAATATAAAACTCAGCCTCTCTTTTTATTTTTATTTTGGAAGACTGAGTGTGAACACTTGCCTTACAGGGGACCCGTACAGCACAGAATCTAGGCCCCAGGTGGTGATGTTCAGGGAAGGGCCTTAAAGACAAAACATGCAAAACTGTCCCTCCCATGTTAAAAGCAAAGTCTCTGCATGCCGGTGACTGTGGGTGGTATCTGGGCTTGTTGGTTGAAGCACTGTGCTGGCTAGAGGTGGTTGCTGCATGCAGCATACAATTCAGAATCATTGTGTCCAGTTGTTGATGCTCTGCACATACACACGGCATCCAGCAGCCATGTCTTCCCTGTACCCGAAGCATAGCCAGGGTTTCATCACTCAGGTGTCCATTGGCGTTGACAAACCCAGTGGCCAGGTTGGAGTTTATCAGTCCCTGGTCTGTTTCTTCCCTGAGGTATCACGTCCGTCAGTCTACTGAGGCCTCTGCTTCCTGCTCAGTGCTGTTCCCAGCCACAGCCTAGGTGGCAGCTTGGACCTTAACCTTGCCTCCATCCGCTTCCTGACACAAGCCTCGCTACTCTGAGTTTGTCTCTCTTTTTCAGAGATCCTACTTGTTATTTATTTATTACTTATTGTTTTATTTTTATTTTTTATTTTTTTATTATTATTTTTTGAAATGGAGTCTAACTCTGTCTCCAGGCCAGAGTGCAGTGGCGCGATCTCGGCTCACTGCAACCTCCACCTCCCGGGTTCAAGGAATTCCCCTGCCTCAGCCTTCCTAGTAGCTGGGACTACAGGTGCGTGCCACCACACCTGGCTAATTGTTTGTATTTTAGTAGAGACGGGGTTTCACCAGTTGGCCAGGATGGTCTCGATCTCCTGACCTCATGATCTGCCCACCTTGGCCTCCCAAAGTACTGAGATTATAGGCGTGACCCACCAGGCCCAGCTCACTCTGCTTGTTTTTTAAACCAGAGCAAAACTCCCAGGCTCCCAGCCTCTTCAGCCTACCCCTCCTTATCCCCCAACAGAAGCCTCCTGCTGCTTTCATTCATGTCTGTGCTTTTTCTTCCAAGGAGACTGTTCCCATGTCCTGATTCTCTCCCTCTTCTGATTTTGTGTGCATTCCATTTCCCCACTTGGAATGGCTTTCTTATTTTCTTCCCCAACCATCTGGAATTTTGAATGGCAGTCTAGATAGCTTTAAAAAGTAGGATTATGTTCTAGCACAGGAATGCAGAGGCTCCAAAATCCAGAGCCCACAAGTGGTTTATCTGTCTAAACAACACCCTGCACTAAGAGAGGGACACAGATCCTATGCCGAGGAATGAGGGGTCACCCACCTATGCATACATTACCCTAGTCAGTACTGACCATCAACAAGAAGACAGATGCCATTGAAAGACTACCCTTGCCAGCCTTTCTCTCGCTCACTGTCACCTGTCTAGCCTCCTCCATTAGATCAGAGCCCGCTCAAGCTGAGTTCCATGGTATTTTTCCCACTGCATCTTATGATGTCCTCTATACAATGCATATGTGGAAGTTCTCACTGACTCATAGATATTCACCCAAGACACAACTTTAGGTGCACCTGGTGAGCAGCAGAATCGTAAGATGATTTATATTTTATGTGCCAGAAAAGTTGTTTCCATACCTTTTTTTCCTCAGTACATTGATTTTGTTTTTTTTTAAGAGTTTTCTTGGAGTATAATTTTCATACCTTAACATCCACCCACTTTTGATCATACAAATAAATGGTTTTTATAAATTTATACAGTTAAGCAGACATCACCACAATCAAGTTTAAGAACCTTCTATCACCCCCGAAAGTTCCCTCAATCCCTATGCCTACTTTCAGTCCCAAGGAATCACTCATCTGCTCTCTATCGCTATAGTTTTGCCTTTTTTAGAAATCTCATGTAAAGGGAGTCGTAGGGTGTAGGCTCTTGTGTCCACCCTCTTTCACTTATTATGCTGTTTTTCAGATAGATCTATGTTATTGCATGCCTGTTTTAGTGCATGGTATTCCATTGTAGAGATATATCCACTACATTTATCTATTCACCAGCAGATGGACATTTATAGAACTGGACAGCATTTAAATCCATCATTTTGTGATCTAACAGCTCATCACAACTGCCAGCAATGTACATAGAGCTCCTGTGTATCTAGTAAGCAGTGTCTTTAGTGTGGAGACTGGTGGTGATGGTTCTTATGTTGTAAGCCACCTTAGGGAGCCACACCAAACCAGGGTTAATCTGGTTCAAAATGACAATAGGAAGGCCACATTTAGGACTCTTTTCTGTTCTTTTTTTCTTTTCTTTTTGGAGAAGGAATCTTGCTCTGTCGCCAGGCTGGAGTGCAGTGGCACCATCTCGACTCACTGCAACCTCCACCTCCTGGGTTCAAGCGATTCTCCTGCCTCAGCCTCCCGAGTAGCTGGGACTACAGGTGCCCACCACCATGCCTGGCTAATTTTTGTTTTTTTGAGATGGAGTTTCGCTCTTGCTGCCAAGGCTAGAGTGCAATAGTGCAATCTCAGCTCACCATAACTTCTGCCTTTAGGGTTAAAGCGATTCTCCTATCTCAATCTCCTGAATAGCTGGGATTTCAAGTGCCCGCTACAACGCCCAGCTAATTTTTTTTTTGTATTTTTAGTAGAGATGAGGTTTCACCATTTTGGTCAGGCTAGCCTCGACCTCCTAACCTCACGTGATCTGCCTACCTCGGCCCCACAAAGTGCTGGGATTACAGAGGTAAGCCATTGTACCCAGCCTGGATTTAGAACTATTTTAAGTAAGCCTAGAAATAATCAGACCTCTCTTTATCCAATTGTAACAAACTATGATAAATAGCATCTCCTAGCTTTTAGAGAAACAAAGCATGGGTAACTGCTGATGCAACAGGTAAGTATGATTTCTGCTGCTAAATTACCTGGGTTCAAATCTCAGCTCCATTCCTTACAAGCAATGTCGCTTAACAAGTTACTTCCATGACTTCTTGGCATTTTTGCCAAGATCAAGTGTAGTAACAAGTTACTTCCATATTTTAAGCTTCTGTTTACTCACAAGTAAAATGGGCCAATATTAGCAATCATCTCATTAAGATTCAGGTGGGAAGAAAATGACATCTGTATTAAACACTTAGCATGTGCTTGTTATTGTTGACGTATTTTATTAGGGTTGTTTTCACTCTCATCGTTGTTGGTGCTAGTGATTTTTTTCCCCCAAGTGAAATACTGAACACTTTATTTTGCACACTTTAAAATATTTAAAATATGGCTTATTTCACTAAATTAAGATGTATAATTTACCCATTTTTCATTATAAGACATGGTTTTTAGTTCAATAAAATAAAATATGATTTGTTTTAAAGCAAGCAAGTAGTGAAGAAGGAATGTGGTGCTTTTCAAAGGATTCTTTCTTATTAATATTTAATTCTTCTGGCCAGGCATGGTGGCTCATGCCTGTAATCTCAGCACTTTGGGAGGCCATGGCAGGTGGATCACTTGACACCAGGAGTTCAAGACCAGCCTGGCCAACATGGCAAAACCCTGTCAATACTAAAAATAAAAAAAAAATTAGCTGGGTGTGTTGGCGCATGCCTGTGCTCCCAGCTACTCGGTAGGCTGAAGCACTTGAATCGCTTGAACCTAGGAGGCAGAGGTTGCGGTGAGCCGAGATCATACCACGGCACTCCAGCCTGGGCAATAGAGCAAGACTGTCTCTCTCTGTTTCTCTCTCTGTCCCTCTCTCTTTCTCTCTCTCTCTATAAACATATATATATATTTCTAAAAAAGGCAAAACTAGCAACAGAGAGCAGATGAGTGGTTGCTTGAGCTGAGAGTAGGCAAGGGGATTGAGGGAACTTTTGGGGGTAATAGAAGGATTCTTAAATTTGATATATTTAATTCTTCTGTTATTCTTCACTTTAGCTTTTGCCTACTTCATCTGGATTACCACCAGGTTGGGAAGAAAAACAAGATGAAAGAGGAAGATCATATTATGTAGATCACAATTCCAGAACAACTACTTGGACAAAGCCCACTGTACAGGTACCCTGCAACCTATTAATTTACTTTCTTACAGGATTTAAACTCACATCCTATGTAAACTATTACATCACTTTATAGTATATACTGGATACTTCTAGCATCTTTTTTTTTTTTTTTTTTGAGATGGAGTCTCACTCTTGTCGCCCAGACTGGAGTACAATGGTGCAATCTCTGCTCACTGCACCTGTGCCTCCTTGGTTCAAGCGATTCTCCTACCTCAGCCTCCAGAGTAGCTGGGATTACAGGCATGTGCCACCATGCCTGGCTAATTTTTGTATTTTTAGTAGAAAGAGGGTTTCACCACGTTGGCCAGACTGATCTCAAACTCCTGACCTCAGGTGATCCACCCATCTTGGCCTCCCAAAGTGCTGGGATTACAGGCATGAGCCACTGTGCCTGGCTGTAGCATCTTCAAATTATTTATTTTCTGACACTAATGCTAAGTGTCCACCATTTCCTGTGAATCTCTAATATACACAAATTACCACTCGTTATTATATAAAACAAGTTCAAATGAGAATAAGAGGAAAAAGTAAATAATCTGGTCTTTGGGTATTTTTATAATTTGAATAGTTAAGATCATTATTTTAACTAAAACATAATCTTGGTGATTGGTATCTATTAAAGAAATTTATGCCGATAACACCTCACCCTTGGCAACAGTTTCACCTGTAATATTTCCTTTTTAACTGTTTAGCAAAATATTTATTTTCTCTTATCACCGTATCTCTTGTTGAAAAATTTTTTAACACTGAAAAGTCTAGAAAATAATATAGCAGATACACATATCCTTTATTCAGAATTAACATCATTAATAAGTTACCATATTAATTCCTAGACATTTTATTTTTAAAAATAAAGTCTTACAGATTAACCTAAATTTCTTTTAGCCAAGCTCTTGGTTCCATTCCCCAGGGGGAACCACAGTCTTGAATTTGTTGTGTATTCTTCTAGCCAATTTTATATACTTAAAGAGCTTAGAAAATGTAAATTAAAATTAGCTGGGTGCAGTGGCTCACACCCATAATCCCAGCACTTTGGAAGGGTGAGCTGGGCAGATCACAAGGTCAGGAATTCGAGGCCAGGCTGACTAACATGGTGAAACCCTGTCTCTACTAAAAATACAAAAATTAGCTGGTTGTGGTGGCATGCACCTGTAATCCCAGCTACTCGGGAGGCTGAGGCAAGAGAATCGCTTGAACCCAGGAGGCGCAGTTTGCAGTGAGTGGAGATTGCACCATTGCACTCCAGCCTGGATGACACAGTGAGACTCCATCTCAAAGAAAAAAAAAGTAAAATATTTTTTATATGCCTGTGTTTCTAATTTTGCAACTAGGGAACACTCAATTTATAGAATGAGGTGCTGCTCCATTAAAAAAAAACCTTTTTTTAATTGATGTTGTGACCCCATAGGTCTACATCTTTTTTTTGCTTAACATTGTTTTAAAGCTCTATGTTGTTATTTATAGACGCAGTGTATTTCTCTTAACTACTAATATCCCATCATATGACTATATTACATTTCAGTTATCCACTTCTGTGGTAGATATTTGTCATTCATTTTGTCTGCCTGACATTCGAATCTACTTCTGTGTATAAGAATCCCCCATCCTATGAGTTTTGGGAGAATAAAGACAACCTCCTACTATAGGCACCAGAGCTCCGCTTGCAGCTAGGTCTTGAGCGTGTGGACCTCGCTCCCTCAGTCAGATGCACCCACAACAGACTGTTAACTGCTATCTCACTGCTTGAGAATTAGTTGAGAAATTATAAATTATTATTAAAATCAAATTTGACAAAATAGCTTATTGGAAAAATGTTATTAAATGTAATGCATTATTAAAATGTTGGGAAAATATTAATATGCCATAACTACATTTGAAAATGAGCCTGAAATGTTTAGAGTCTCTTTAAAGGAAGATGTGTATTGCATTTGCAGGTTAAGTTACCTTTTTAACTGCTGCTATTTGTGAGTTCTCTATAAAATATTACGATATGATTTCGTAAATATGCTAGGCCACAGTGGAGACCAATCAGCTGACATCAAGCCAGAGTTCTGCGGGCCCTCAGTCACAAGCTTCCACAAGTGATTCAGGCCAGCAGGTGACCCAGCCATCAGAAACTGAGCAAGGATTCCTTCCTAAAGGCTGGGAAGTCCGGCATGCACCAAATGGGAGGCCTTTCTTTATTGACCACAACACTAAAACCACCACCTGGGTAACTTTGATACTCTTCCATTTAAATTTATAACAACGATAGTCATCTCTTATGTATAGTTCCTTATCATCTTTAAGTGTATATTAGTATAACCTATGTTTTCTAGTATTCATTAAAAGATATATTGAATTCTTAATAATATTATTTATATTCAGGAACATACTTACCCTTCTTTTTTAATATTGTTTTGGATTATGATGGAGATACTCATGTTTACTTCCTATTTCCAGTTTTTAGCTCACTAGCCATAAATGCTTAGGAAGATATGTAGGAATAATCCTTTGCTTTTATATGAGGCTTTCTAGCTCCAAAGAACTTTTGAATCCCTATCTCATTTAATACCAAAAAACCTTGTGAGGCTAGGTAGAACAAGTTTTTTTATTTTAAGGTAAGGCTTAAAGTTGTTTAGTGCTTGGCTTACCACTAGAAAAATTACTCAAAATTAGGAGCAGATGAATAAATTTTAATTAATTATTAAAAGACCAGCATACCTTAAATACTACTAAAATTATTTAATAAATTAATAATATTAAAATAATATATGTAAATTAAACCACATAAATTGAATTTTGTTCACATTTTTAACATTCTGAATTGACCTTTAATAACCTTTTTGGGCTTACCTTCCTGTTATTCAAAAATATGAATCAACCTGAACAGAGCTGCCAAAATGCATGTTCTGGAGCTTAGAAATATCATGTGGTCCAATTTAATGCCCCATTCTTTTACCAGTTTTTACGTAGAGAAAACCCCCATAGAGTGACACATTTCCTAAAGAGCGGGGCAAAGAGGTGACCAGTTAGTGGTGATCCCTGAGAACTGATCCTTATTCCTTTTGATATTATAGCCTGAGAGTGGTAGATTTCAAAGGAGAAAATATTATGTCACATATTTAGGAAATAAAATATGAAAGGACTTTTACAAGAGAATATTTTAAATGTCCATTGATATTAGAAAACATAGTAATAGACTGACTTTGATTATTTTGAAATTTGTGTGTGTGTTGTTCTTTATTTACTGTACCAAAAAAGGAAGATCCAAGATTGAAAATTCCAGCCCATCTGAGAGGAAAGACAGCACTTGATACTTCCAGTGATCTAGGGCCTTTACCTGTAAGTGTATAGAATACTAACCTCTCTTACTTGGCTGTCTCAAATATTTTGTATTTTGGGATATAGTAGTTCTTTATCAGCTATAATTAATCTTATTATTAAAATGTTGATACCTTCTAAGAATGGAACGGCATATGCGATTTAAATTAACCATACAATCAGTGCTATTTTTCTATCCATACATCTAAAACCCTATTCTAAAATAATTGAAATACATTCTTAATTATAGCCAGGATGGGAAGAGAGAACTCACACAGATGGAAGAATCTTCTACATAAATCACAGTATGTTCATTGTGATTTTTCATTATGTTATTTTTTATAATAAATTTTATGTGTGAGAAAGAACATCTTTTTCCTTTTTCTACCCTTCAGATATAAAAAGAACACAATGGGAAGATCCTCGGTTGCAGAATGTAGCAATAACTGGACCAGTAAGTCTCTCTGTACCAGTGTGCTCTGATGAGACTGTCCTCTCACCTGTCTCTTCAAGAGCAGATAGTCAAGGGCATAACCCTACAGGCATTGAGTCCTCAAGCACATCGGCTATTCTCTCCTCTCCCCTATTTCCCATACTCCAAGTCTCCGTTATTTGAAAAGATTCTATGACGTCATTACCCTTGCCCTGTGCAATAACTGTGGGAGACAAGTGAGCCAGACCGTCAGAATGGTAAGGCAGTGTAGGCTGCTGAGCTCAGTCTGGTGCCTGCCGCTGTCTGAACAAAAATAATGACAGTCCTCCACAAATCAGAAAGGAGCAGAGAGTGTATCTGGATGAGGACGCAGCAGCACCCTATCCACTCCAGGGTCATTCTTAAACTTTTTGATAGAAATCGGGCCCAGCTCATGCCTGTAACCCCAGCACTTTGGGAGGCCAAGGCAGGTGGGTCACCTGAGGTCAGGAGTTCAAGACCAGCCTGGCCAATGTGGTGAAACCTTCTCTCTACTAAAAATGCAAAAAAAAAATAAAAATAAATAAAGTCCTGGGCTTGTTGGCAGGCACCTGTAGTCCCAGCTACTTGAGAGGCTGAGACAGGAGAATCGGTTGAACCCAAGAGGCAGAGGTTGCAGTGAGCTGAGATTGCCGCACCACACTCCAACCTGGGTGACAGAGTGAGACTCTATCTAAACAACAACAAAAAAATATTGTAAATGCCTGTATGAAAGACACATCCATGGCCAGGCGCGGTGGCTCACGCCTATAATCCCAGCACTTTGGGAGGCCGAGGCAGGTGGATCACGAGGTCAAGAGATTGAGACCATCCTGGTCAACATGGTGAAACCCCGTCTCTACTAAAAATACAAAAAATTAGCTGGGCATGGTGGTGCGTGCCTGTAATCCCAGCTACTCAGGAGGCTGAGGGAGGAGAATTGCCTGAACCCAGGAGGCGGAGATTGTGGTGAGCCGAGATCTTGCCATTGCACTCCAGCCTGGGTAACAAGAGCAAAACTCTGTCTCAAAAAAAAAAAAAAAAAAAAAGAAAAAGACACATCCACATTTAAGTATAAATATTACCGTGTATGATAATTGTACTACTCTTGAGTCAGTTTGATAGGATAATTTTTATCGTTTTTTATAGCTGCCTTTTCCATTTTTATTCAGATGTTTTCTAATTCATAAAAATAAGTAAAACTGAAGATAGAGTTTTTTATTACTATTTACTATCTCAACATGTAGTCCTTTAAAATAAGGACTAAAAAAGGCAGCTTCCCAGAGTTCAAGGAAAAAGTACACTTCTCACGTTTTTCCTTTAATGGAGAAATCACTTCGAAAGTGTCTTTAGAAATGGAAATTTTTCTTTCTAATATTTCTCTGCTTGGAAGAAATTTCCTGTTTCTGGCATGTTACATTTTAAGAATATTGCATGATGAAAATTACAGTCATAGGAACTGCTGAATACAATTTTACCTTTAACCGAGAAATTAAACATTTTGAAGTTTTGTATTTGTTTTTCTTCTAATTAAACTTTTCTTTCCCAATATTTTTATTTTAATGCCCTTAACTTATGTTCATAAAATACCCAGCAGGGAACTTTAAAAATTGTTCCAGAATAAAAACAACCTAAACTTATTTATTTTTCCAAAATTTTCAACTGAAGGCAGTGCCGTACTCCAGGGATTATAAAAGAAAGTATGAGTTCTTCCGAAGAAAGTTGAAGAAGCAGGTTAGTGATGTTTGTAAAAAAATACTTAAGAGTCATCAATACATAGATGGAAAGTAAAGGAAAATGTTTTTATTTTTTTAACTAAGAATTTGTTCTATATTTGTAACAACTTTGAGTGAAAAGTTTTTCATAGAAAAAGGATGCTAATTTTTTGAGTAGCTGTGATATATCACTACAGATCATAATTACTTTATGTCCTTATTTTTGAAGACATTTTATAATACAGAATAATGGCATTAAAAGTTTGCTTTCCAGAGCTCTAACCTGGGTGTCCTTGTGGAGTTTGTGGGGCTTGATCTTTGTAGAATCTGAGCAAGAGTGGCTCAGGCAATTATCTTCTAAGCTAGTCTTTTCTGTGTTGGAGATCACTGAATTTTTTATGACTTTGTTTTTCTCCAGCCATAGTCATTCATTCTCTACAGCTTCAAATGTAATCTCTCTGCATAATTTAAAACTGCAATCATGAGTGGAACTGTGCTCTTGTGACTTGTCTGCTTATGCTTATCAGTTATGTTCACTACACTTTTTCCCATAGCCACAAATGCAACATGTTTGGAACTAAACTTATCACCTGTCCATCTATTTCATTTCTGTTGGTGTCTATTAGTTTTATTGCCTCTCAATTTGCTCATCCTGTCCTCTGTTGCCTGCACTTTAGGAATACTACCACTAGGTGGCCATATTGGGTTATACTTTCTTGCATTCTAAGCCAGAAGCCTGCTTTCACAAAGATTCAAGATGGTGGGTAGGCTACCTCAAATTTTCACCCAAATTTTTAACAAAAATAAAACATGGTAGTTTTTTAGACTAAATATTTTCTGCCTTACTAAAATTCATAAATAGCATCAACTTTCTACACTCGTTTTTAAGAATAATTTTCTGGGCCAGGAGTGGTGGCTCATGCCTATAATCCCAGCACTTTGGGAGGTTGAGGCAGGTGGATCACTTGAGGTCAGGAGTTTGAGACCAACCTGGCCAACATGGTGAAACCCCATCTCTACTAAAATGCAAAAATTAACTGGGCATGGTGGCGCACGCCTGTAATCCCAGCTACTCAGGAGGCTGAGGCAGGAGAATTGCTTGAACCCGGGAGGTGGAAGTTGCAGTGAGCTGAGATCACTTCACTGCACTCCAGCCTAGGTGACAGAGTGAGACCCTGTCTCGAAAAAGAAGAAAAAAGAAAGAAAGAATAACTTTGAGTGAAAATTTCCCTGGAAATTTTTCTGCTTCTAGACTTGGGGATTTTAAATGTTTGCTGATTTATTGTTCTGGTAAATATTTTCATTCTTAATGAGAATATGCTGGGGGAATAGAAGCACTAGCTTCTCCATTTTTTGCCACTCTGAGTGCTTGACACATGTTATAGTATCTAATTGTTAATGTCTTTCAGGCAGCAGGATATGGGAGGCAGTCCCATTACAGGCTACAAAATACAGAAATACGAAATACAAAAAAAAAACTTTAAAAAGCAGTAATATTTATTCATCTCTCACTGCATACCAGGCATTATTCTTAGAAGTTTACATATGTTATTCATTTAATCTCTACAATAACTCTGTAAGGAAGGGAGTACTATCACATTTCACAGATGAGGAAACTGAGGCACAGAGAGAATAGGTAATGTGATCAAGTCCCATGGTTAAGTAGAAAAGCCAAGTGGTCTAGCCCCAGATCCCATGTTCCTAACCAACATGACATATCATGTTAGTGATTAAGAAAATTAAAAGAGAAGTTAATTTTTGTGGAAATGACCCAGAATGCAACAAAGGTATGTAAGGGATAAACGTACAAAAGAAAGGTTCAAAGACATGAAGTCATTCCAGAAGGAGGGGACCAAGATCATGAGGAAGAGAAGGTTAAGAATATGAATTCTCACATTAATAAAAGGGCCCAAGCAGGATTTTTAAAATCTATGTCTAGACACATCACAGCAAAAGAGCAGAACATCAAGAACACTTAGAATGTCAGAAAGCGTAGCACCAAAACAGAGATAAAGAATATTAAAAACAGCAGGTGCAGTGGCTCATGCCTGTAATCCCAGCACTTTGGGAGGCTGAGGCAGGAGGATTACTGGAATTACTGGACCTCACGAGTTCAAGGCTGCCCTGAGCTATAATCATGCCACTGCACTCCAGCTTGGATGACAGAGCAGTACTCTGTCTCAAAAAAAAAAAAAAAATTAAAAACCAGTGATTGAAAGCCATGTGCTGTCTTTAACCTTTTCAGCTTCCTTATCATCAACATTTCGTAGTTAGGAATAATGATAGCTAATAATTACCATGTGCCAGATACTGTATAAGCATTTTTAATGCATTACCCCATTAAGTCTTGAAACAACTCCATGCGGGTAGCTATCATTATTATTTTTCCTATTTTATAGATGAGGAGATTAATCCTTAGAAAAGACATGTAACCTGCCCAAAGTCTCACACCTAGTGAATGGTAAAGTCAGAATTTGAACACAGGGCCAGATTCCAGAATGCATGCACTTGTCTACTACTCAGTTCAAACACGAAGTTTCTCTTGTAGTCCTCCCTTCTTCCACTGCCGTTGCTGCTTCACACATCCCTTTGTCTCTTCTCTCTGAGCTGTTCCAGGGGTCTTTAACTGACCAGTGTGCCTCTTGTTTCTCCTCCTTAAAACTGTTCTTTATACCCTGTCCCGTCAGCTTATGAGAACCCAGTGATCTGACCGTGTGGCTCCCCTGCTCAGAAACTCTCTTCTCGACTGCATTCACACTGTCCACCCTCTCCCCCAGACTACTTTTTCACATTTTTTTCACTATAATCCCTGCTTGCTTTCCCTTCCTCTCCCTTCTCCTTCTGTACTCTCTGGGTATTAAATATATCAGACCCCTCATGTATGCTGTTCCTCCTTCCCTCTTTTTCTGTCTAAAGACTTCCTTTCAAAGCCTTCTTGATTGCCTCATTTGAAGTCAATAGCTCAGTCTTTTATGCCCTGCAGAACACTGCTTACATCTCTATCATCAGCAATTGTTCTCCTATTTTAAGTCTCAGAAATAGCAGCATTTACTCTTGTTTTTCACATATGCACCAGATTAGAAACTCCTTGAGGAAGCAACATTTTACAGCCTGTTTGTATTCCCTTTATTCCCCATCCTTGGCTACTACAATACCACCTGGCCCAGAGTGGGTCTTTGATAAATGCTTACCTGCGCCAGCTGCCTAGTATCCAGTCTAAAAGTGCTTTTCTGCAAGCTTACCATTTTTTTAATGACATAAGCAGTAAACTGCTCATATTATGCTTATATTGCTTTTATCAACTGCTAACATTGTCATGTCTCTATAGGGCTTCTCATTTTCTCTAAATAAATTGAGAATAAATTTTTTTTTTCCTTAGAGCTAACCTTCTTTTTTGGAGGTGACAAAATGTTGATGGCATGTTTTCTCTTACTAGTTTCCCCTGGAAATTTGCCCATGAAGTACTGAGGAATGAAATATTTAGATGTATCTTTCGTAAAATTTACAGTAAGGTCCGCCTAAAGCATAGTTACATACACTTGTCACGTAAGCAAAAAATGTACAAAAGATTAGTAAGGCAATGTAGCTCCATTAATTAAGAGCACAGACTCAGGAGTTAAGACTTTCTTAAGTTGTCTTCTTCAGTTTTATGTATAAAATGAAGGCAATAATAGTAGCTTTTGCATGGTATTGTTATAAGGTTAAATGAGTTAACGCCTCCCCTCCGCCCCCGTTCCAGGGGAACCGAGCCTGGCTGTATTAGTTTGTTTTCACACTGCTGATAAAGACATACCCGAGACCGGGCAATGTACAAAAGAAAAAGGTTTATTGGACTTACAGTTCCACGCCGCTGAGGAGGCCTCACAATCATGGCGGACGACAAGGAGGAGCAAATGTTATCTTAGGTGGATGGCAGCAGGCAAAGAGAGAGCTTGTGCAAAGAAACCATCAGATCTCGCGAGACCCATTCACTATCGCGAGAACAGTGCAGGAAAGACCCGCCCCCATAATTCATTCATCTCCCTCTGGGTTCTTCCTAAGACACATGGGAATTGTGGGAGTTACAATTCAAGATGAGACTTGAGTGGGGACCCAGCCAAACCGTATATGGCACAATCTGTAAGTGTTAGCATCTGTTAATGAATGAAAGAGGATAGACTCCAGGGAGGAAAGGTAGAGAAAGGGAAAACTGTGAACAAATGGGCAGGCAACAACTAGCAGCAGTGGCTATCCTACAGGTCACAGAACGGCGGTCACTGGAACTTAATATGAAAAGGACTATTAACGAAATGGCTTCATGGGGGCATTACCATCACCATCAATAGCTTCTTTAGGCTGGGTACTGTGGCTCATCCCTGTAATCCCAGCACTTTGGAAGGCCAAGGCGGGAAGATTGCTTCAACTTAGGAGTTTGAGAACAGCCTGGGCAAGATGGCAAGACCACACCTGTACAAAAATGTTAAAAATTAGCCAGGCATGATGGCATGCTTCTATGGTCTAGTTACTTAGGAGGCTGAGGTAAGAGGATCACTTGAGCCCATGAGGTCGAGGCTGCAGTGAGCCATGTTCACGCCACTGCACACCAGCCTAGACAACAGAACTTTCTCCAAAAAAGAAAAAGTCAAAAGCTCCTTTTAGATATAAAGAAGTCTATATTACAGTAGTAAGTAATTAGAGAAAATGCAGGAACTCTCTCATACCATTGAGGAAAGCAAGACAATATACCTAGTTGTGTTTGCCCTGAGTATATTACGTAAGGAAAAAGGGACTTAGACACAGGGTGTAGAGGGAATGTTATAACTTTAGGAGAGACAGGTTCGTTACTATGTTGAACTGATAGAAACCATAAGTCTCTCCTCTGGGTTTTCAGAATGACATTCCAAACAAATTTGAAATGAAACTTCGCCGAGCAACTGTTCTCGAGGACTCTTACCGGAGAATTATGGGTGTCAAGAGAGCAGACTTCCTCAAGGCTCGACTGTGGATTGAGTTTGATGGTGAAAAGGGATTGGATTATGGAGGAGTTGCCAGAGAATGGTTCTTTCTGATCTCAAAGGAAATGTTTAACCCTTATTATGGGTTGTTCGAATATTCTGCTACGTAAGTAACTTTACAATGACTATATGCAGAAAAAGAAAAATCACGGTTTTAGAAGTAAGAGTCATGCGATACAAGGAAAATGTATGTCATGCCAGAAAAGGGCAATTTTAACTGATGTTTCAGAAGTGACTTTAAAAAGCTGTGGTATAATACACATTACATCAAATTTATCAAATTAACTATTTTAAATACACAATTTAGAGTCGTTACATACATTCACATTGCTGAGTTGCCATCAGCACCATCCAATTCTAGAACGTTTTCTTTTTTCATCTTCCCAAAATGAAACTCTGTACCCAGAAAGCACTTGCTCCTCATTCCCTGACAGCCACCATTCTACTTTCTGTCCCTATGAATTTGACTCCTCTGGGTACCACACTTAAGTGGAATCATTCACTATTTGTCCTTTTTTGATCAGCTCATTTCACTTCGCATGATGTCTTCAAGGTTCATCTATGTTGTAGCATGTATCAGAATGTCCTTCCTTTTTAAGGCTGAATAATATTCCATTATTTTTACATATAATACTTTGTTTAGGCCGGGCACAGTGTCTCACACCTGTAATCCCAACATTTTGGGAGGCCGAGATGGGTGGATCATGATGTCATAATTTTAAGACCAGCCTGGCCAACATAGTGAAACCCCATCTCTACTAAAACTGTGGAAAAATTAGCCGGGTGTGGTAGCAGGTGCTTGTAGTCCCTGCTACTCAGAGGCTGAGGCAGGAGAATCGCTTGAAGCTGGGAGGTAGAGGTTTCAGTGAGCCGAGACTATGCCGTTGCACTCCAGCCTGGGGGGACAGAGAAATACTCCATCTCAAAAAAAAAAAAAAAAAAAAAACAACTTTGTGTAAACATTCATCTGCCAGAGGACATTTGTGTTGTTTCCACTTTTTGACAGAAAGTGCTATTTTTAAAACCATTAAGTCCAGTGGAGGAATGTGGTTCTAACACTAGTAAACAATTCTTAAAAGAGGAAGATTTTTTATAATTATTTGTCATATTAAAGTTTTTCAAATGGAGTATTTAAATGGAATTGTCTTTACAGGGACAATTATACCCTACAGATAAATCCAAACTCTGGATTGTGTAATGAAGATCACCTCTCTTACTTCAAGTTTATTGGTCGGGTGGCTGGAATGGCAGTTTATCATGGCAAACTGTTGGATGGTTAGTATTAAGTATAAACTTTTTACAATGTAATTACCTGTTTTCTTTCACTTGGTAATCATCCTAAATGTATTTTGTTTTTTGCAAGGTTTTTTCATCCGCCCATTTTACAAGATGATGCTTCACAAACCGATAACCCTTCATGATATGGAATCTGTGGTATGTCTTTTTCACTTACAGTATAGAGGAAGTATAATTTAACAAGCAACTTGAGCATTTTGAAGAATTTGATTTTAATGATATGGAAATTAATAAATTATCATGTTTCAAAATACAAATGAACTTTTTCCTCAACATTTTACTATGAAAATTTTCTAATGTATAATAAAGTTGGAAGAATTTTACACTGGACACTTCTATATCCACTACTCACAATTGCATTGTCTTCTAGATTTAGTTGATCACATACCTGTCTGTCTATCCATCAACCTATCTTAGTTTTTTCATGCATTTCAGAGTTATAGTTATCAAGTTATAGGTATCAGTAAACATAAATACTTCAACAGGTTATACAAGTTATGTATCTTTTGAATTAGTATTTGAAATATGATGTTTTATGATGAATGGTGTATATTTTTTAAATGGCAGTCAAATGGCAAAGCATTATGGTTAGGCTCCTAGAAAGAAACAGAAGCCCAAGGATTCAACCTCTGACTATAGCCATGTTGTTTCCGGTGCTGCTGAATAGCTTCACACAATGTGTGTTCACATGAATTCTAGGGCATCTTCTTTAGTACCAAGTTCATTTTTTATTCTTTTCTTGTTACATATTTACAGCACAAACAATGTGATTCTTTATTATTCTCAAGATTGCACAGTTATTTGAGTTGGTTCATTGAGCCTCTATATTTATTTAGAGATTTTTCTTTAACTCTGGCTGCGTATAAATAATGGCCTCCTCATAGCTACTTAAACATTTCACACACAGGGCCGGACACAGCAGTGTACAACTATAATCCCAGCACGTTGGGAGGCTGAGGTGTGGATTACTTGAGGTCAGGAGTTTGAGACCAGCCTGGCCAACATGGTGATACTCGTCTCTACAAAAAAATACAGAAATTAGCCAGGCATGGTGGTGCACACCTGTAGTCCCAGCTACTCGAGAGGCCGGGGCAGGAGGATCACTTGAGCCTAGGAGGTCGAGGCTACAGTGAGTGATGATCACACCACTGCACTCCAGCCTAAGTGATAGAGTGAGATCCTGTCTCAAAAAAAAATTAAAAAATAAATAAAACATTTCACACACAGTCACATAGGCATGTGAGGAATGTGCTAAGTGCTCCTGGGTATCCACAGAAGTTAGGTTTTATCTGAAAACTTTTTGATTCACTCCTTTAACTGGATAATAAAATCCGTGCCTCCACTGTTTCCACATAGACATAGATTCTGAACTTTTAAGTAGGCACCACTTGATTGATTGATACATTTTTATTCTTGCCCTTACCTGTCATCCACTTTTTGTGATATGTGTATTTGTGTAAGGAAAGGATGTCCATCCGACCTCTCGTCTTTTACCCAACTATTCAGACCCTGTGCATACTGGTTTTTGCGATTTCAGGTGTGTTATATATACAAATTTTAAATTTGTAATTTTTCCTATCTAGGATAGTGAATATTACAATTCTCTAAGATGGATTCTTGAAAATGACCCAACAGAATTGGACCTCAGGTTTATTATAGATGAAGAACTTTTTGGACAGGTTTGTGAATTTTGATCAGTTAAAATGGCACATAAATTGTGAAACAAATGTTTAGATGTTAATACCTACGCTTAATACTTTTCTATGCTCTACTTTTACACTTAGTTTCCAGTAACAAAAGCTGTCTCTCAGCAAGACTTTGTGCTTTCTTTGACATTTGACTCGTTCCATATTTATTTCAGTAAAACCAATATTTTAAGTTTTCTTAGCTTTTTACTTTTGACTGGACATAATTTAAAACACCAGGTTTCTTGTATAACTACAGTATGTATACTTTAAAATTTTTTCTCACTAAAATAACATACCAAGGCATTGTGTTTGATTTTAGACACACCAACATGAGTTGAAAAATGGTGGATCAGAAATAGTTGTCACCAATAAGAACAAAAAGGAATATATTTAGTAAGTATTTTATTAATAAGTATTTTATTGGACATAATTTTATACTTTATTCCAAAAAGCCTCATCTTACCATCTTTCTCTGTCCCATTGGCCAGAATCCCAGTGTTCTTCTTCTCTCTCCATCCCAGTTTAGTAGCAAGCACTCACATTCAGCTTTTGCCTAGGGCTCAGCTGGTCTTTGGTTTCTGTTTCTAACTGGAATAATTGTGCCTCTGAATTTTGTCTTGGTTCACGTGAAAATGAAATGTTTCTTTTTAGTCTTGTAATACAGTGGCGATTTGTAAACCGAATCCAGAAGCAAATGGCTGCTTTTAAAGAGGTATTTATTTTCTTTTATTTGCTCTTCCATAATTTCACAGTATAACCCATAAGTTTCAAATATTAGGGCTCATCACAGCTGAGAAAAATAAGTATATGACTTGTTTTGTGAAATCATTCTAAATTATATTTTTGTATTAGCTATTCCATTCATTCATTCAAGAAATCTAGACAATAGACATTGAAAGGTCCCCTTCCCCAGGCGTTTTCCCAACTCCATTCCCTTCACCGTAGGACAGCAAAAGAACCAGAGTGCTGTAGGGATAGTGTAACATATTTGTTTTTCTAAATAGGATCACCTCATACATTTTGTTTTGTGACTTACTTTCTTCTTCTTTTTTTTTTTTTTTTTTTTTTTTTTTGAGATGGAGTCTTGTTCTGTTGCCAAGGCTGGAGTGCAGTGGCCCGATGTTGGCCACTGCCAAGATCTTGGCCTCCTGCATTCAAACGATTCTCCTGCCTCAGCTTCCCCAGTAGCTGGGACAGGCATTCGCCACCATGCCCAGCTAACTTTTTTTTATCTTTAGTAGAGATGGGGTTTCACCATGTTGGTCAGGATGGTCTCGATCTCTTGACCTTGTGATCCACCAGCCACAGCCTCCCAAAGTGCTGGTATTACAGGCGTGAGCCACCGCGCCCGGCCATATGTAATTTCTTACATGTTAAGAGTGAGGAATTCTGGAAGCTCTCTAACTTAAGGAATTTTAATTATTAATATATTATTAATACCAATGAGATGAAAGTAAGAACCTCCCCATAAGCTGTTTATTATTGCTGAGAATTGGGTGCCTTTCCCCTTTCATAGTCTTAGCAGATTCATCTTTAACTGTTGTCTTCAGATTTTTAATGCCCTCTGCTTTGTTGTTTTTTTGTTTTTGTTTTTTAGACTAGAAGGACTAGAGTGATTGGCCACTCTGTCGCCCAGGCTGGAATGCAGTGGCGTAATCTCGGCTCACTGCAACCTGCACCTCCTAGGCTCAAGTGATCCTCCTGCTTCAGCCTCCTGAGTAGCTGCAGTTACAGGCGCCCACCACCATGCCTGGCTAATTTTTGTATTTTTAGTAGAGACAGGGTTTCACTATGTTGATCAGGCTAGTCTCAAACTCCTAACCTCAAGTGATCCACCCGCCTTGGCCTCCCAAAGTGCTGGGATTACAGGCATGAGCCACCATGCCCAACCTACTTTCTTTTTTTAATCAGATATTTATTGGGGATATTTACATGTGGAGACATATAGCTGCCTTTCTTTGTGGCTATATTTTATTCATAATATAAATTAATATGTTATTTAAACTTCCCCAATTGGTAGGCATATAAGTGATTGTCAGAGCACTCATTTATTAAGCTAACTTAACATCTTCTGTTAAATGTGTATCTGGCTGGGCATAGTGGCTCATGCCTATAATCCCAACACTTGAGGAGGCTGAGGCAGGAGGATCACTTTAGCCCAGGAGTTCAAGACCAGCATGGACAACATAGGGAGACCTTATCTCTACCAAAAATTAAAAATTAGCCTTGTGTTGTGGCATGTGCCTATGGTCACAGCTACTTGGGAGGCTGAGGATGGAGGATCACTTGAACCTGGGAAGTCGAGGCTACAGTGAGCTATGAGCTATAATGGCACGACTGCACTCAAGCCTGGGTGACAGAGTAAAACCTTGTGTCTAAAAATGTGTGTGTGTGTATCACATACTTTTTCATAAATTCAGTATTGAATACTGTGTGTATGGTGCTGTACCAGGCCAAAAGGCATAGGTCCTGCTGTCAAGGGATGTATGCTGCAAAGAGTGAAATGGGGCCAGGCGCGGTGGCTCACGTCTGTAATCCCAGCACTTTGGGAGGCTGAGGCAGGTGGATTACAAGGTCAGGAGTTTGAGACCAGCCTGACCAAATGGTGAAAAAGCATCTCTACTAAAAATACAAAAATTAGCTGGGCGTGGTGGCCCGCATCTGTAATTGCAGCTACCCAGGAGGCTAAGGCAGGAGAATCTCTTGAACCCGGGAGGCAGAGGTTGCAGTGAGCTCAGATCGTGCCACTGCATTCCAGCCTGGGCGACGGAGCAAGACTCTGTCTCAAAAAAAGAAAAGACAAAAAGAGGGAAATGAACAGAGGCAAGCATAAATGCTAGGAGAGCACAGAAGAAAAGTACAAATCAGGGAGGGGCAAAGGAAGGGACAAAGAAGGACTAGAGGGGTTGGCCAACCATGGAGAGGAGGGAAATGCAGTTCTAAGCAGCAGGAGCAGCATGTGTGAAGTCTGGCAATAAGGTAGGCTATACCCACAGGCAGTTGAGCATGCTGGCTGAGAGAATGCAAGAGGGGATCAATAAGCCTGCAGAGCTAAGAGACCAGTTTATAAAAGGCCTGTGTGTGAATCAGTAGAGTTCGGAGTTTTCTCTGAATTTCAAGGACGGGAAAGGAAGGTAGCATTAAAGGCTATTAACCAATAAGACACCAGGATTCAATTTACGTTTTAGATCATTCTGGAAGTGCTATGTAGAGTGAGTTAGATGAGAGCAAGACTAGCAGCAGACTTCCCAGCAGAGCTGGGAAAGTGCTACAGTAATCCTGGTGAGAAATGGTAAGGAATTAAGGTAATGGTGAGGGAACTGTGATAAGAATGGTAAGGGAATGAAGATAGTGGTGGTGATAAGAACTACCTGTGCATTTGAATGTCATTCAGGAAAGGAGACTTAAAGGGTAGAGATGTTTGGATTCGGGGATTATCTGCCTGTGTAGTGAAGCGGTGAACTCGGTAAGATGGAAAATGTGAAAAGGCAGTGAAAGTAGATGGCCTCACATGTGGAGAGAGACCTAGGAACACCAGCATCTTAACCCTTGTTTTGAATGGAAGGTTTATGAATGGACAGTTTAGAGCATGGCGGCGGGGAGGGCGGAAAGGAAACTGCAAAGGAAATTAACAAAGGTAGACAAGGGTATCAAGAGCAGACAGAGTTTCAATAGCAAAGATGTTTTTAATCATACTGCAAAGAAGTCAAATATGATAAGGAATTAAAAGTATTTATCAGATATACCTACAAAGCTGTCCTTGACTTTTTCCAGAACAATTTCAAGGAAGCTGTAGTGTAGCGGTCAGATGGCAGTGGGCTGAGGGTTAGATGGGAGGTAAGTGAGTGGATTTGGTAACTGCATGGCATTGCCAAGAACTTGGCTGTGAAGGGAAAGTCATTAAGGTTTTTTGTTTGCTTGCTTGCTTTGTTTTAACAAATTTTAATGCATACAGAGTAAGCCAATAAAGAGAAAGAGATGTAGTAAGATGACCTCCCTGAGGAGCAGGTGAAACACAGGTGCAGGCCTAGCCTGAAAGAGGAGGTGGCACCTCTCTTCCAATGCAGTGGGAAGGAGGCCATGATGGGTGTTGGTGATGGCTGGGATGCAGGGATGGAGAAGCTTGAGGGAGTTCCATCATGCATACTTGCTTCTCTTCTCTTTTCTTTTCTTTTTTTTTTTGAGACGGAGTCTCACTTCGTTGCCCAGGCTGGAGTGCAGTGGTGTGATCTCGGCTCATGGCAACCTCCGCCTCCTGAGTTCAAACGATTCTCCTGCCTCAGCCTCCTGAGTAGCTGGGGTTACAGGTGCCTGCCACCACACCTGGCTAATTTTTCTTGTATTTTTAGTAGAGATGGGGTTTCATCATGTTGGTCAGGCTGGTCTCAAACTCCTTACCTCGTGATCCACCCACCACAGCCTCCTAAAGTGCTGGGATTGCAGGTGTGAGCCACCGCACCCGGCCACTTGCCTCTGTTTTCTCCCAAATAGAACTTATCTACTCTGTAAAGAAGGGGTGATATGGAGGCCTGAGAAGGATGAGAAATTTGGTTTTTGTTGTTCTAGTTTTTTGTTTGTGTTTTTTTTTTAATTGCATTTTAGGTCTTGGGGTTGTTCTTGTTTTGAGAAAGGGTCTCAGTTTGTCGTCCAGGCTGGACTACCTCAACCTCCCCAGTAGCTGGGACTACAGGTGCACATCACCATGCCTGGCTAATTTTTGTATATGTAGAGATGGGGTTTCACCACATTTCCCAGGCTAGTCTCAAATTCCTTGACTCAAGCAATCCGCCCACCTCGGCCTCCCAAAGTGCTGGGATTACAGGCATGAGCTTCCACTCCTGGCCATAGAGAGTTTGAAAATAGCCATTTTGAGGAATAAATGAGAGAGAACAGACTGGGCACACGTACATTTTCTGACCAATATTGAGATCTCAGGGAAGAGCCCGTGATTGTGTAGTGGTAGAAACTTGGGTGGATGTGCGATTCCTCCACTGGAACCCAGAAGCTGAAGCATAGGAAAGGCCATTGGCCCTGCCCATCAGGTTTTTAAATATGTCTTTCTTCTAGGGATTCTTTGAACTCATACCACAGGATCTCATCAAAATTTTTGATGAAAATGAACTAGAGGTAAGATATAACATTCCTAACATTTTATGTTAAAACAGAAATTTTGAAGCGATTATTTTCCTTGTTTATGATTTGACATTCCTTACGTAGCTTCTTATGTGTGGACTGGGAGATGTGGATGTGAATGACTGGAGAGAACATACCAAGTATAAAAATGGCTACAGCGCAAATCATCAGGTTATACAATGGTTTTGGAAGGTAATTGGAAACTTCTATTTTTGTAAATTACTTTTTGATAGATTTAATTATATCTAAGTCAACTCTTGATTCACTGTACTGGTGGATTACATATAACTGATACAGAAAAAATATATAGACCAGCAAAAATTATCTTTCATTTTGTACTGTATACATGCACCTGCTGGGACTGTAACTATTACTACATATGTAAAATGTTCAGAAGGTAGTAAGTAGAACGACAGGCAGAGACAATTGCTTAGTTTCTTGCTAAAGTAGGGACTCTGAAAGAACTTATAATAACCTGCAGGGTATTTCTAGGGACTCTTGGATATCTCTTTTAAAATATCTGATAGAGAAATATGTATGCCATTCAATAATATTAATATAATGTGGGTTTTTTTTTTTTTTTTTGAGACAGTCTCGCTCTGTCTCCCACGCTAGAGTGCAGTGGCACAGTCTCAGCTCACTGCCGCCTCTATTTCCCAGGTGCAAGCAATTCTTCTGCCTCAGCTTCCTGAGTAGCTGGAATTGCAGGCCTACACCATCACGCCTGGCTAATTTTTGTATTTTTAGTAGAGATGGGGTTTCACCATGTTGGCCAGGCTGGCATCAAACTCCTGGCCTCAAGTGATGTCCCCGCCTCAGCCTCCCAAAATGCTGGGATTGATTATAGGCATGAGACACTGCGCCTAGCATATAATGTTTAAAAGCCTTGAGTCACATCTGAAAATAAATTTTTTTAGTTCACTAAGGTTATAATCTCATTCTAAAAGGTTGCCACATAGCCTTAGAAATAAAGTTTTCAAGAACTTTGTAAGCCACCCATAAACAAAAATTTAACTAAAAGAAATATGCAAATCTAGTAAGGGATTATTAATATTCTAACTAAATTCTGCTTGCTTGTGTTTTAGGATTATTTGTTTACCCTTTTTTCAGTGCTGTTCCCTAAATTATGTTTTTATCTTATTCAGGCTGTTTTAATGATGGATTCAGAAAAAAGAATAAGATTGCTTCAGTTTGTCACTGGCACATCTCGGGTGCCCATGAATGGATTTGCTGAACTATATGGTAAGGATTTTCCATAGATCATTAAAAAAGGGAGCGATGCCTGTTGTCTTTTTCATGGCTGATGAATCCTCAAGCTTTTATCATTTACTAACATTTAGCTTAATTTTAAAAAGAATTAAGCTTTTAAAAGTGATATCATTAGAGACAGTGGAGTAGGCTAAAATATATTTACACCTTCTAGTCAGATCATAAAGGAGAAAACTGGAATCATCAGATGACTTGCGTCACTTTCTGTTCTTTAACTTCAAATTCTATGCCCAGTATGCTTCAGTTACAGAAAAAGCATTGCCTTGGCTGGGAGGCGTGGCTCATGCCTGTAATCCCAGCACTTTGGGAGGCCAAGGCAGGCAGATCACTTGAGGCCAGGAGTTTAAGAACAGCCTGGCCAACACAGTGAAACCCGATCTCTACCAAAAAAATACAAATATTAGCTGGGCTTGGTGGTATACATCTGTAGTCTCAGCTACTCAGGAAGCTAAAGCAGGATAATTGCTTGAACCCAGGAAGGCGCAGGTTGCAGTGAGCCAAGGTCGCACCACTGCACTCCAGCCTAGGCAACAGAGTGAGACTTTGTCTCAAAAAAAAAAAAAAAAAAAAAGCATGACCTCTAATGTGGTAGTTCAGGATAGCATTTGAAGTTCCACAGAATGTTAATAAGTGTATTTAAAAAAAGAAACAAAGAGTCATAGTAGAATAACTTTGAGGAAATGCTATACTAAACAAAGTTAAATGGATTTCTTCAGGACTTATGATAAGCTTTACTGTCGGAAAAAAACAAAAGCATTGTTTTCCAAACTTAATCATGAAATCTTTTTTTTTTTTTTTCCTTTCAAGATAGGGGTGGAGAATCTCATTAGGCTACAGTTTTTCACTTATTGGGGGAAGCAGCAGGACTGGGCATAAGACTGCACATATCTCTTGATTTTCAGAATAATTAATGTAGTTTTCTATAAAGTAAGCTTCTATGTATTTTGTCAAATTGTTTTCCAGTTGATGTATAAAACTGTAGGTGTATTTTGTTTAAAAGTGCCATTTCTGGTGTAGATCACGGCAACTTTTTTCACACTGATTCATACTCTGTTTATATTGGAATGATACTTACTTGTTTTTAAGGACACCAAGAATCGAAGAATAAATCTTTAGAAAAGATGTAGCTAAAATGAGAGCCCTATTCAGAATAACGAGTAAGATTAGGATTGTCCTGGGGACGAGAGGTCGGGGACCGTTGCCTAGGAATTTGCTAAGCTGAATTTTTTTATGTAAATAGAAGCTGGCCATCTGATGGGATTGCTAAATCCTGCCTTCTCCATGTCAAATCTGGTCAGCTTGCTAAACTTCATTAATGTGTGTTTGCAGAACCAGTCAAGCAGCTGCTCCTTGTCTACCTAGAGTAACCACGCAAAGTGGTTAGCTTTGCCACTAACCAATTCGTCATTCCTTGCCTAGTTGGGCTTCGTAGCCTCTTTCTTTTTCATGGTTTCACCTGACTCCCCTTCCTTTATTTTCTCTACCTTAACCAGTTAGTAGAGAATGAAGGCAGGGCAAACAAATGCTCCTTTCCATCTCTGGCCTCTTCCTTCTTTTATGTAACCCAGGCCTATAACCATCCACTGATTTCATGCGCTGTTTCAAATTTGGGGCAGATATCCCCCACATAGTGCCAGAGTTGTTTGTGTTAAAATGTAAAGTCAAATTCTTATATATTTATAGAAAGAAGTAGAAGTTATTTCAAACTGTTAAAATTACAATGCAATATTAGATAGCCAATAAAAAGTATTTTAAGTCGGCTAGGCGTGATGGCTCACTCCTGTAATCCCAACATTTTTTTTCTTTTTGAAATGGGTCTCACTCTGTCACCCAGGGTGGAGTGCAGTTGCACAATCTCAACTCACTGCAACCTCTGCCTCCTAGGTTCAAGTGGTTCTCCTGCCTCAGCCTCCCAAGTAGCTGGGATTACAGGCACCTGCCACTATACCCAGCTAATTTTTTGTAATTTTAGTAGAGACAAGATTTCACCATGTTGGACGGGCTGGTCTCGAACTCCTGACCTCATGATTTGCCTGCCTCGGCCTTCCAAAGTGCTGGAATTACAGGCATGAGCCACTGCGCCCGGCCCTTGACATATTTTTATACAGGCATGCAATGAGTAAAAATCTCATCAGGGTAGATGGGGTATCCATCCCCTCAAGCATTTATCCTTTGTTACAAACAACCCAATTATGCTCTTTTAGTTATTATTAAATGCACAATTAAATTATTTTCTACTGTAGTCACCCTGTTGTGCTAGCAAATAGTAGGTCTTATTCATTCTTTTTAACTATTTTTTGTACCAATTAGTCATCCCCACTTTCTTCACTCCCCCACACGCTATAACCTTCCCAGTCTCTGGTTTCCATCTTTCTACTCTCTGGGATTTTGTTTTGTTTTGGTTTGGTTTTGAGACAGAGTCTCACTCTATTGCCCAGGCTTGAGTGCAGTGGTGCAATCTCAGCTCTCTGCATCCTCCACAACCCGGGTTCAAGCGATTCTCATGCTTCAGCCTCCCAAGTAGCTGGGGCCACAGGCATGTACTACCGCACCTGGCTAATTTTTGTATTTTTGGTAGAACAAGGTTTCGCCGCTATGGCTAGGCTGGTCTCGAACTCCTGGTGTCAAGTGATCCGCCTGCCTCAGCCTCCCAAAGTGCTGGGATTATGGTTTGTTTGTTTGTTTGTTTAATTAGCAGGGCTAACTCATAGGTAGTATGCCCAGAGTCGGCCAGATTATTTGTATAATTCAAAAAAATTAAAGCTATTTTCAGTGGTACTCAAAAAAGAAAGAAAATGCTTATTTACTCTTCGTACCTATGAGGGAAATTGTATATGGAAATGTAGTGTGTATAGAGCTAGGATACAGCAAAAGCATTGTCAGACATGCCACTCCACGTGTGATATGAAAAATGAACTGATAGACAAGGAATCCTAATTTCATGGCTGAACAATGAAGCCATCCAGCACAGGAGATCATCTCTTGAGTTTAAAGAAACCACATTAGAAGGCTGGGTATGGTGGCTCATGCCCGTAATCCCAACACTTGGGAGGCTGAATTGAGAGAATCACTTGAGGCCAGGAGTTCAAGACCAGTCTGGGCAACATAGTGAGACGCCCCCATCTCTATAAAATCTATTTTTTATCATTTAGCCAGGCATGGTGGTGCACCCCTGTAATCCTGGCTACTCCGGAGGCTAAAGCAAGAGGATCACTTGAGCCCAGGAGCTTGAGGCTACAGTGAACTTGAATCATGCCACTGCATTCCAGCTTGGGTGACAGAGGGATACCCCATCTCTAAAATACAAATAAACCAGATTAGCTCCTTGTATGTGTAGGTTCTACACTAGAAAAATTCTGATATGCCTGGAGATTCCTGTATAGAGTAAATGAAATCAAATAAATTTTTCCTTATAGGTTCAAACGGACCACAGTTGTTTACAGTTGAACAGTGGGGTACTCCTGAAAAGCTGCCAAGAGCACATACCTGGTAAGCAGTTGTTTGGACCTTGATAGAACAAAGCCTCAGAGAGTGAGGGTCCTCTGATTGTTCGTCTAGCTACAGCAGACGAAAGAGTCTCCTCTATTATTGGTGGCAGTTATAGATTATGGATAAGGAGGAGGCGGTAACACTAACCCAACGAATAAGTGTTTTGTTACCAAGTTGGCCGGGCCTTGAAATCCAGGTAGCTGAAGACCAGAGAGGCCCATTTAAACTGAGTGATGAGTGATGGGCTGTCCTGGGGGTCTAGAACATTCCATTTTGGAGGTTGAATGGTAGAGGAACTCAGCCATTTGGAAGACATAGTAAAGGCAGGACTCCACAAGGAGTCGTGTGGAGCATCCACACCCAGAACCCAGTCCTACATCTTACTTCTAAGCCCTGATGAAAAGACATAGTTTGGTGTCGTTGGAACGTACTCTTCATGAATAGCAGTATTGCTGTTTGCTGTGGTGGTACTTGCTTTGTCAGTGTCTTTCATAACCAGCTCCTCTCTGTTCTTTCAGCTTTAATCGCCTGGACTTGCCACCTTATGAATCATTTGAAGAATTATCGGATAAACTTCAGATGGCAATTGAAAACACTCAGGGTTTTGATGGAGTTGATTAGATTACAAATAACAGTCTATGGTGTTTTTACTGCCATAGTTTTATAAGCCAAATCATGACTTAAAGTTTTCCAGGGAACTACTAAAACCTGGCCACTGATTCTTCCCAGATCCTGAAGAAAATCGTATAAAAAGTATTTGAAGAAATAGTATGACAACTTTAATCACTTTTAAATAATGTGTCACATTTACACAGTTTCATTCTGTCTTTAGAGTTCACACAATAGGATATCAGTCCCATATGACTTAAATAGTGAATTTTGTCTGTAACATTTACCTCTTGTATAGTATCTGCCAGGCAGTTTTTTCTTAAACTACTGAGATTATAACTGTGAAATATTTGTGATAAGTGTGATCTGTGAAAATGTTGATGCATTTTGAGATGGAAAACTGAAATTTGGGAAAAAAAATTCTATTGCATAAACTACAATATATTTAGTGCTACTTGCAGCTGTTTATTATTTTGTAGACCTGCCTTATGCACCTTACTGCCTAGATTTTTGGAAAAACCTTGGAGAGTGTGTTATCTATTTTTCTAGTCAACTAACTCGCAGAAAAACAGTTTACTTCTTCACTTTCAAAGTATTTGGCTTTTTGTTAATATGCAGTTTTTACTAAACAGGTGATTCATAAGACATGTGAAGCAAGTCGTTTTTGCAATGGGCAAAAAGTATTAAGGCCTTTCTCTTGCCTGCATATCCTTATGATCATTGGTATAGTCAGCATTTTTTCATATTTTAGTGTAGTTAGAAGAATTCCTTCTTCAAACATTAAAGAGCCACAAAGCAGTATTTCTAAATATGCCTTGAAGAACTAAATGAAGTGTATAGCACTTGCCTTTACTAGTCATTCTTTACACTTGTACAATTATGTAGTAAATGTATGTTTACAGGGTTTATTATGTTTACAGATTAAGCTAATTTCTGTAGTTGCATTTTTATATTTTTAGTATCACTCTAGTTAAAAAAAAACCAAATGATTTGTTTAAAATAACCAAAGAGTTGATATAATGCATAATTTGTATTAAATTTATTACTATATTTCTTATGCTTTTTGAAAATACTGTTTACTATGAAGACAATGTTTTATTACACATCCAAAACTCTGTAGGCAAAATGCTATAGGTTGAATCCTTCCTTAACCAAACTGAAATACATAAAGACCATGTACAGGTATTCATCAAACGTTTATTGAATGCTATGTGCATAGCACTGTGCTATGCCCTGGGGTAAGATTTGTCAGCTTCAGAGATACCTGGCTGAGTCCTGATCCTCAAGAACTTACGGATGTGTCAGTGAATCTGTAAAACAATCAAAAGTAAGGCTAAGCAGAAGAAGGTAAAAGGGAAAGTGTTCTAGATTCCAGCGCACCTGCAAAGATAAGTGTGCCGAGACTGTATTTATATTTCACACTTATATTGTTTCATCCTTATATTGGCATGATTATATAGAAAATGGGTCTTAAAAAGATGAAGCCTATTTCTCAGTATTGTATCTCAGTGATTTAGGAATAATTGTAAATATATGTTATGAATCTTCTTAAATATATATATGTTTTATATATATAATATACATATTTTATATATATTATATATATACACCCTGTGAGAACTGTAAAAATTACTTCCGTTTCTTGGTTTAAGATTGTTGGGGTATAACATCACGAGCACTCATTAGCATCTGTTAGAAATCTGAAATGTGACAGTAGCAAAACCACTTTCGACTTTCCAAACACCACATCGTCAGCATGGTTTAGAGGAAGCAATTCACAGATTAATGCACCGTGCGTTTTGTCTTCACCACTGTCAACCAGAGGTCAGGCATGAGCACCAGGTATAATCCTGGTTTGATCTCTCACCAGCTATGCGAACTGAAGCAGCTTACTTAACCTCTCTGGACTCGTGTTTCTTCATCTGTCAAATGAGAATCATCATGCCCAGCCTCATTGTCATGCCAGACTGTCATAAGTTCTAGAAAGATGAGAAAGCAAAAAGTACGTTTTAAAGTGTTACACAATCAGAAGGTGCTTTGTGCTGACCATCAGATTGTGTTAAGTCAGATGTGCAAACTGACCAGGCTCCCAAAGAATCATGTAAAAGTAAAGTGACTTCTAAGAGACAAGGAAGTAGGAACATAGCTGATAATAAATACATAAATATACATGGAAACACATGTGTCCATATATGGATCTTACCATCATAATTCATTTTCTTCATATCAGCAAAGTAATAGTATTGTGGGCCAATGCATTTTGGAAATGTCCTCATTATGTAGAATGGAATGTGAAAATTATTTTTGTTAAAACAGGATATTGCCACAATTGTTTAAATATCACTTTTGTGAAATATCAGAGCATAGGAAGATACAAAGCTTTCTTTTTATCTGGCTGATGCTCATTTGGATGATTAAGTGACTCACAGAAGATGGTGTTAATGAGATGAGAGTCACTCCCACCCTTCCCCAGCTGCAGACCTTCATCCCCTTCGTCTCCCACTGGGGACTCATGGTCTGGAAGGAATCTGTATCAAGCAACACAGCCCCTTATCCCACATAGAAAAGTGTCTCAAATGCATTCTACTGCTGGACAGTCAGTAGGATCATTTTCATAAAGCAAGGACATTGTATGTTCCTAGAAATTATAAGCATATAACTTTAGCCTACAATCTGTAATTTAAAATTTTTAACATAAGATTGTATTACAGATGCATTTCATCAGAACTCAAATTTAAATGGTATTTGTTTTAGTTTTTTATTTGTAACGCTGAAGTTATTCCATATAAGTATCAAGTTAAACACAATTCATTTTAATTAGAAACTATTTGACTTTTTAAAATCTTCTGATATGGTAAATATATATATCAAGATTGATGTATCAAAATTTATTGCACACTTTAAAGTATAAAGTCATTTTTTTAAATCTTGAGTCCACAAATAAAGTTCTATTCTGATTTTAAAAAATAAAAAAAAAACAATGTGGTTCATTTTTAAATAGAAATGTTTCCAAGTCAGTACGCTGGGCAATGTCTTCTGGTCTAGTTCTTTACCGCAACGCATTAAATTCTCAAGACGATCCTAAACTTATTACCTGATGAACTAACATGATTATAAACTCTCAACTACAGATCATCAATTTCCACTGTACAAAAAGGTCATATTCCAAAAGTCTGGCCATTAGTGAAATATCCAGAAGATAAAAATAATAGTTATAAATGAACTAGATTTCGGGCATCTTGCTGCTCATCAAAGAATCAAAGAAGCCAGTCTTATAGCCAACCACTATTTATAACATCATTTATATGCGAAAAAGAGTTACCAACTGTTAATTCAGAACAAAGTGTCTTTTCCTCTTTCCTCTCAGGCATGAGAAGTAGTTTCCCAGTTAGAAGGGAATCCACGCCCACCCACTCAAGCCAGCCTAGGAAGGTGCTGTTCCAGCCCCTTCTTTCTGCCACAGTCCGGACCACAGCTTTTAATACTGAGGGCTCAGGCGACAGCCCTCTCCTTCCACCCTTCCTGTTCTAGCCAGCTTGGGCAGCAGCTAACCCACACCATGCCTCACCTGTACAAGAAGTCCTCGCTTTGTTGTTCATCACAGCAGACATTTATTTTATAAATGATATTAAACTAAGGCATTAGAATGTCAGGACCTCACTATGAAGAAAGAGCCTCAGGATATTTTTGTGTATTTTCTCTGAAAGTTAAAACCTATTACTACACTAGCCTCCTGTTTGTGTTCCACTCATCTCCATCACCACCAATGTTTCCTTTTTAGGACACAGATTTGATCAGGTGACTCAACTGCCAAAAAAAAAGCCTAAGAGCGCCCCAGAGCCAAAAGCCCGAAGCACAAACCCATTAGCATGGAGGTTTGCATGAAATGCAGTCCATCCTCAGCCTAATGTCTCAGTTCCACTTTCCATCATACCTCACTCAGGTGCCCTTGGTTCCCCTCCAAATCAGAGTCCTTCCAGCCCCTAATTACTGCAGACTCTTCGGTGCCGCCTGAATGCTTTCAGTTAGTGCGGATGACATTGCATTACAATTCTTTGTTTACGTAATTCTGTCCTACAAACCTGGGCAGTTTGAAGACAAAGACAATTTTGTATACATCTTTTTCATATGTTCATTTCCCAATGCAAATATTTGATGAATTTGAGCTTTGAAACACTGTTTGCGTGTAGACTCCATTTGGGAGCACATATCATGTGCTTGGAATGGCAATAATGTGCAGGAGCTCTGTATTTAGGTAGACACTGCGGACTACGTAAATATTCAAGCAGAGGTAGAGCTTGATTGAGATCCTGCTGAGTGCTGGATTGTGCAGTAAACACTTTATGTGGATCTCATTTAATCTTCATAAAAACTCGGTGAGGCAGGTTTTATAGGCTCAAGGACAAGTAATACACCTAAGGCCACACAGCTTGTAAACTCAGTGGATTTATGAACCACAACAAAAAGCTATGGAATCCAACAAATTACCAATATGTATCCGTTTTCTTGGGCTGCACAACAAATTGCCATAACTTAGCAGCTAAAAACAATACCTGTTTATTACCTCAGAGTTCTGTAGGTCACAAGTCCACATGGTCTTAGCTTAGGGTTCTCTGCCCAGGGTCTCACAAAGCCAAAACCAAGGTGTCTGGGCTCTTGCCTGCATTCAAGATCTTTTGAATTATTGACAGAATCCAATTCCTAGTAGCTGCAGGTCTGAAGCCCTTGTTTTCTCGCTGGATGGCAGCTGGGGGGCAATCTTAACTTCCGGATGTCACCCCCATTCCTCATGGATTGGCCCTCTCCCTCTTCAAGCCAACAATGCCTCTCATGCTTCAAATCTCTCATTTCCCATTCGGCTGCCCTCTTCTGCAACTAGACAAAGGAAATGCCCTGCATTTCAAGATTTATTTGAATAGTCCAGGCCCACCTGAATGGTCTTCCTTTTCAAAAACTGACTGTACCAGCTGAGAGCAGTGGTTCATGCCTATAATCCCAGCACTTTGGGAAGCTGAGGTGGGTGAATCACCTGAGGTCAGGAGTTCAAGACCAGCCTGGCCAACATGGCGAAACCCCATCTCTACTAAAAATACAAAAATTAGCTGGGCATGGTGATGCGTGCCTGTAATCCCAGCTACTTGGGAGGCCGAAGCAGAAAATCTCTTGAACCTGGGAGGTGGAGGTTGCAGTGAGCCAAGATCGTGCCACTGCACGGCAGCCTGGGCGACAAAAGCAAAACTCAGTCTCAAAAAAGAAAATTGTATCATAGGCAGAACACAGTCATGGGACCAAGATTTTTATCACGTTCATAAACAGCATACATTAGGAGGATGAGGTATTTCCTAGATCATTCCTGGAAAATCCTGCCTTTTACACAAGGTAAAGGTTAAGGATAGAAAAGTTAAGGATTATGGAGATTCACCTTGAAAAACACTTAAATATATCTCATTTTATAATGTGCACTTCCATTTTCCACTCTTTGTTAATGAAAGGCCTGCTAGATAAATTAATGCTAACAACAGCCAGTAGGATTCCACGTCAGCAGCTATAAATTCACAAGTCACTACTCTCAATATTTTTCTCTTGATGGTATTTTTCTCAATATATCAAGGTTGCATTGGCCTGAAATTATATTCAATTTATCCTTATAATCTTGCTTCTTATATAAAGAGAAATGAAAAGCCATACTTGCTCCTTTTATTGGGAGGATTGGTGTCTTTCCAGTGAAACCATGGTCAGGATTATGAGGTGGATCCAAATCAGACTAGAGCTGTGAAGGGAAGAAGGCAGTTCACAGCTTAGAGCTAGTGATCATTCTCTGCAGATGTGTTCAGACCTACTTTAAATCTCTGGAGAGAAGCGCAACGGAGGGCCTCCAGATGCCCAAGTAAGTGAAAGTTTCTGTGAAATCACACAACCCTGAAACAAAGTTTTTTCTCCTGGTGAAATTAACCAAAGATTAAAGCCATAACTATAGATTCATGAGTTATACTCTATTCATTATTAAGGTCCTGACTGAAGTTCTCTTCTGAAAAATAATCAATTATTATCAGGGCAAACATCATGCCTTCCTGAAAGTTGTTTTTCTGTAACAAGAATATTTTATAAATGAGAAATTCAAGCGTATTTTCTCAAACTAATAAAAGGTAATGAGCACAGTGAACTAAGATAATCTCAGTTTAAACAAACAGGATTATCACTGATGCTGGACTTGAAAACACTATCCAGATTAATGACTTTGTTAATACCCAGTCACTGGGCATAAGTCCAAGTGTAGCATAAATATTCTTCTAGACTTGATGACAGTGAAATATCCTCTGTTTGGCCCTCTGAAGGGATAACCAAGTTCTCAGTGATTAATGGATAGCAGCCAACTGGGTTTGCTTTTTTAGTTTTGCCGTTTGTTGGAACGGGATCATGCTTGTGAATAGATGGTGATGGTGTGTGGTTTTACGAGGAATTCTGTAGTGGTTTATTCTTGACTACTCCTTGAAAAGAAGTGTGAGAAGAGAAAAAAGAAAGCTCTCTTAACTCAGTCACTACTAGGACTCTGGAATATCCGTGCTTCCCCCAGGGCCTCAGTCTATATACTTGCCCCATCTCCATCTGGGGACATTGTGAAATGGAATTTGGGATTTATTGTCAAGACCTCTAATTACTAATATAGGCATTGACAAGGTAGGGGAAGGGAGTTATATGCAGCACATACTGCAAGCCTTTGGAAGATATATTAAGACACAGTTGAGGCTTCAACTGTATCTTAGGACTAGCCCAGCACTATCTAATGGTCATATAAAGCAGGCAACATAATTTTAAATTTACTAGTAGCCATGTTTTAAAATATAAAAAGAAATAAAATTAATTGTAATAATCTATTTTATTTCACTCAGTATATCCAAAATATTATTTCAGACCAGGCACGGTGGCTCACGCCTATAATCGCAGCACTTTGGGAGGCTGAGGCAGGCGGATCAACTGAGGTCAGAAGTTCAAGACCAGCCTGGCCAAATGATGAAATCCCATCTGTACTAAAAATACAAAAAATTAGCCAAGCATGGTGGTGGGCACCTGTAATCCCAACTATTCAGGGTGCTGAGGCAGGAGAATCACTTGAACCCAGAAAGCCGAGTTTGCACTGAGCCGAGATTGTGCCATTGCACTCCAGCCTCGGCAACAAGAGCAAAAAGCTGTCTAAAAAAAAAAATCATTTCAACATGTGATTAATATAAAATTATTATGAGATATTTTCAACTTTTGGTACTGTCTTCAAAACCCAATATGTACCTTATGCTTATAACACATCTTAATTCAGACTGGCCACATTTCAAATAACCACATATTGCTGGTGCTACCATACTGGACAGCATTGGAATCCGTGGGCCTAAGGTCAAACTTCCACACAGCATAAAGGAGCTGAGATGCAGCTACAAGTGGCTCACCTGGTGGTATTGCTAAATTATTTTGCTTCATCCAGGGAACCCCAGAGATTAGGAAGAAGCTCTTCCTGGAAAGCCAAATGTTGAAATTCAAACAACATTCTAACTTAGTCACTTTTTGAAATTTAAAATTTACCCTTAGAAATCATTTCAACCATTGTGGAAGATAGTGTAGTGACTCCTCAGAGACCCAGAAGCAGACATACCATTTGACCCAGCAATCCCATTATTGGATATATACCAAAGGAATATAAATCATTCTGTTACAAAGATACATTCCAGCGTATGTTCACTGTAGCATTATTCACAATAATGAAAACATGGAATCAACCCAAATGCCCATCAATGATAGACTGGATAAGGAAAATGTGGTCAATACACACCATGGAATACTATGCAGCCATAAAAAGGAACTAGATCATGTCCTTTGCAGGGACCTGGTTAGAGCTGGAAGCCGCTATCCTCAGGAAACTTATGCAGGAACAGAAAACCAAACATCACATTTTCACTTATAAGTGGAAGCTAAACAAT